TACTAATTCTCCAGTCTGAATTCCCAGTTAGATAAAACAGAGACAACTCTCTTGCTTCAGCTGTTCCTGTGGAAAATAAAGCAGAATCCTGCCAAATAAAGCAGAAGCCATGCCTATGAAAGTTTATGCTTTGAATTAATTGTACAAAGACTATAAAACAACTGTTTAAAAAATACTCAAAGAGCTAAAGGAATAAGTAAATAATAAATCAAGAAAATAATATAAATATTAATAAAGATATAAAAGTATAAAGAGAAAGTAAACATCCACTCTTGAAAAGTTTGGAGGTTTCTCAAAAAAATTAAACATGGAATGACCACATGATCTATTATTTCGTCATCTCACTATACACCCAAATAATCAAATGCAAGGATTTGAATGTATGTTCTAAAACTACATACACATTGGTTTTAGAATGAGGTCTGCTATGCTCTTTCAAAAAGGTCCTGCACTGGAATGTAAACTCCTTTGCTCCAGACTGCTACTGGGTTGAGAAAAGGATTTGGGCAAAGGCAAGTAAATATACCACAAATCTTTCCTATTTCTCTGGATTCAATGTTTGACTAATTGCTGCAAACTTCTGACTGTTTTTCAGAGTTCTAAAAAACTTGCTGCTGACATTTAAAAAAACTTATTTGTCAACATTTCTGTTGGATGATAAGAGCTTGGAACTGCGTGCTCTATCATTTTGCTGCAATATTAACTGGGGTTTTAATTTGCTTATTTCTTTTACAAAAATGACTATCAAGTCTTCTGATTTCATGTCTGCATCCATTTTGATTGGCTACTGTCAAAGTAAGAAAGAATTTTGGACTAGAAATTTACCTTCAAATTAAATCTTGATCTAAGTCTTCTTTAGCCTTTCCTTTTTCCTTCCTTCCTCCCTTCTTTTTTCTTTTTCTGTTTTTTTTTTTTTTTTTTTTTTTCTTTTTCTTTTTCTTTTTTTGAGATGAAGTCCCCAGCCTAGAGGACAGTGGCATGATCTCAGCCCACTACAACCTTTGCCTTCTGGGTTCAAGTGATTCTCCTGCCTCAGCCTCCTAAGTAGCTGGGATTACAGGCACCCGCCAACATGCACAGCTTTTTTTTTTTAATGCTTTTAGTAGAGATGGGGTTTCACTATGTTGGCCAACCTGGTCTTGAACTACTGACCTCAAGTAATCCTTTTCTTGGCTTCCCAAAGTGCTGGGATTATAGGTGTGAGCCACCATGGCCAGCCTTACCTCTTTTTCTGTTTCAAAGTATATTTTAGCAGCATGCTCATATGCCTTTTCAACAATATATTCAATATGGAAATCAACATTTGAACTATACAAACGATTTTTTTGTAATGGAATTTGAACATTTACTAGTATTATTTTAAGACAATAATCTGTATCCTTCACATAATTTAAACTTATTCATAGGTTCCAATTTATCATAGTACAGAAATAAGCACAGGCTAAATCTGTCCGGTCACTTGTCTTTAATCAACCTAAGAATAATTTTTATATTTTTAAATTATTGAAAAAATAAAAAGAAAAATACCATGTTATGACATGTAACATTAAATGAAATTCAAATTTCAGTGTCCATAAAGTTTTATTGAATCACATCTACATCTATTTGTTTATATGTTATATATGGTTGGTTTTATGCGCAATAGCATAATGGAGTATATTTGACAGAGAATCTACAAACCTAAAATATCTACATGTTTTCCAGTCCATTTTAGTAAAACATAGAAAGAATCAACAACCTAAGAAATAATTTTGATACTTTAAGAATCTTAAAAGCTTTCTTTGCTTTAACATTAGTCATTACCTAGAAGACTAATATTAACTTTTAGAAATTTCAGCCTATATAGTTTTATCAGGTAATAATACACATTTTTTTCAATTCAATCTTTGATAGTTTTAGCATATTTACCCTATTAGTTTAGTTGCAGATAAAGACAATGTTTCACATACCTGATATCTAACACAAAAGTATTTCTGATGGTTTTGCCTGGGGCTTAAATTTCTCAATATTAACCATTTCTTACTAAAATTTTGTCCAATTCAAGGACTAACTCTGAACTTGACGTTCCTTCCTCTACTTGAGTCAGAGAAAACTGGAAACTTCCTTCACAATTAAAAACCCTCTTAAATAGGAGAATATCTTACATTTATATTAAATTTTTCAATCCATAAGTATGTGAATCAGAGTGCTTTAAATTTTTATAGTGAAATCTTATGTTAAAAGACAGCTTATATTGCACGTGATATCTAAGTGTGGGAAACATCATTGGTTTGGATGACATCTGTAAGAATACTTTCAACAACACTGTCAACGAATGCACATTAACGCAGAGTCAGCTCTTTTGAAAATAATTCTGAACTGAATTTCCAGTTATTTCACACCAATCATCATTTTTTAAAAGGTCTGCATCCACAAGTTAGACAATTTTGTATGATCTTTGGGATTAATCTGTTTTTGAGAGATTATTATAAGTAAACGAAGCCACCAGTTAAATAAATTTACTATCATTTAAATGTAAACATTTGACTAGGTAATCACTTTTTTATTTCCTGTCATTACTGCACGGATCAACTTCATTAAAAAGAATTTGGTGTTTTGAAACAAATTTTTCTCAGATGTTTCTGCTTTATTACTGGTAATTGTCAAGAACATTTAGATAAAAGAGAAGACACATTCTCTAAAAATTCATGAATCACCCTTTTTGGGTTATAATATTTGACATTGTGTATTAGCTGTTTTGTCCATCTGTTGAATCTTTTTAACAACATCCTGGATTCCAGAGGCCAACATGCTGAAGATGGAACTTTATCACAAAATGGCAATTTCAGCTAATTAAAAAAAAAAAAAAACTTTCATCACTGCACTAGCTAGCCATCTTATTAAATTTTTCCCATTACTTTTTGTTTTTACAAATGGACCTTGATTTCTATTCCTGTCTAATATTTCTGAGAATGGTTTAATAACTTTATTGATCAATTATTTCTTGATTCATATTTTATCCACAAGAGGTACCTTACTTGCAATGATTTATCTTTTTTTTTAATCACAGGGGCCATTTTATGTATATATGGAATTATGTACAGTTATCACTTACTTTCAAATGGTGCTTTATTTAGAGTTTGATCATTTTGTCCTGGGAGACAAAAACTAAACTAACTTTCCTTGCTGATGGGAAAAATTTATCTGTTATAAATTATTTTATATGAGTATCTAAATATGCCTTTAACAGTAAGCTGATCAGTTACATAGTTTCATTTTCAGCTTGGTTTTCATCTCAATTTAATAACTACCCTGGTAACAACTCCTCTAAAATTTAATAGGAGAAATCATGTGCATTTCCTGGTGGGTATTGTGAGTTGTCTAGTTTACTAATTATATGTTTAGTCAGTTACTCTCATGGCACACAGGTAATACTAATTATTAACATTTCTCATACCAAAACGTATATCCAAAGCATTTGTTTAACTGTTGGGCCACCGTTGGGTGTCCCCTATCACTGTGCTGAGGCACAGGATCTGAGAAATAAAGAGACAGGGCACAGAAGGACAAAGAAAGTGCAGCTGGGCTCAGGGGGGGCCACACCACCTATAAGTGGAGACAGGCGAGGCCCCAAACGTCCAGAAGTATCTGTATTTATTGGGTATAGGTTAGGGGCAGGGTAGTGAGTGAGGTCATCTTTAAGGGTAGTGATAGGGTCATGAGCAATAAAAAAGGGGTCCACTCCCATTAGGTCACCTAGGTAGACTAGGAGGTAGGCAGTGCACAGCAAGGAGTCCACTCCTATTTGGTCACTGAGGCAAGGAGGTGGGCCGTGCACAGTGAAGAGGGTGCAGTGTGCAATATCTCTTATTTATGCTACTTCTAAGATCTATAGGAGGATGCTTTGAGTCACACAGCAGCGACAGAGCTGACAGGGTCTACCGCCACCTGCTGGCAGCTTGCAATGATTTCTATAGGAGGATGGTTTGAGCTAGCATAGTGACAAGAGCTGATAAAGTTCACAGTCACCAAGGCATGATTATACTGGAGGGATTTTAAGCCCTCGGTTGCTCATGGGATTGCCAGTCTGAGGTCAGCCTTCCACAAGAACTGGACACAAGGTCCTACAACTCCTTTATCAGGAGGAGTGGCTCTTGCCCCAAGCCTGCCATATAGCGGGTATCTTTATAATACTGAACACTGCCACCTGGGCCATGGATTCTTGTCTTGGTATAACTGTTTTTCTCTCTCTCTCTTTTTTTTTTTTTTTTTTGTTTGAGACGGAGTTTCGCTCTTGTTACCCAGGCTGGAGTGCAATGGCGCAATCTCGGCTCACTGCAACCTCCGCCTCCTGGGTTCAGGCAATTCTCCTGCCTCAGCCTCCTGAGTAGCTGGGATTACGGGCACACACCACCATGCCCAGCTTATTTTTTGTATTTTTAGTAGAGACAGGGTTTCACCATGTTGACCAGGATGGTCTCGATCTCTTGACCTCGTGATCCACCCGCCTCAGCCTCCCAAAGTGCTGGGATTACAGGCTTGAGCCACCGCTCCCGGCATTTTTTTTTTTTTTTTGAGCTGTTTTTCTCTTAAATCATCCTCTGCACCATGTCTGCTCCAGACATTCCTCTGACTATAAGCTGCTTATTCCTTAATTCACGCCCTCTACTGTGTCTGCTCAGTTCTCTGTGAACTAATATATGTGTGTGTATATATATATATATATACACACACACACACACACACACACACACAGAAATAATTGAGTAGTAAGATATTCTTCAGGCACTCATTCTATAAACTAATATATGATTATATATAAAGGATAACATAAAAGGAAATAACTGAGTAGTAACACTATAAACTAAAATATTCTTCAGGCACTAATTGTGCTGGGAATCTGCTTAGCTCTCCTTGGTGCCTAGATGGGGGATTACCCACATTAAACCTTTCTTTTACCTGGTCCCTCTTACACTTTTTGCTTTTATTTTTAGTAGTACAGGAATCATAAGACACTGTACTATGCTTTAAAAATCATTTTTATTTTCTAAGAGAAGTAAGCATACTTATGTCAGGTACAAAAGCTTTAGTGCTCATCATGGTGAGCTGGTGAAGAAGATCTGGAAATATTAGTATTATATCGAGAAAACACCTTTGACAAAGCTGAAGACATTTTTGCCAGCATTTTAGATCCTTGTTTGGAGACATCGGGCTTGGAAGTTTCTGTGGACAAAGTAAACAAGAAGAATATCTTTATTTATGGATGCTGATGTCAAATACCTTGCCTAAGGTTATATGTGTAAACAGTGACCCAGCTGGGAATAGGGTCCAGGCTTTCTAACACTCATGGCATCATTATGCCTACTGTCCTATGAGACTCCTTTCATCAGGTATGCAAAGTCCACTTCTCTGTTCTCAGCAGAACACTCTCTGAAAATGTCTAATGAGTTAAATGGGAACATAACTTTCAGCTCTATTCAGTGTGGACACCTATTTCAGAATGGTCAAGAGAAGGTAGAAGTACATTAAAAATACTACAAATTCTCATTTACTTTGAGTAAATTTTCCATTGACTGACCCCAAGTGGTTCTTTATGTCATATAAGATAGGACTATGTAGGTAAGGATTTTTTTTTTGCACCATTTATTCAGCATGAGGCTTTAAAGAATATAATCATCTTAGTTTAACAAAATTGTTATTTTATAGGTAAAGACATAATCATTTATGTACTTTTCTGATACTTTATAACTTGTAATAGGGCCACTAAAATTGCATATTTTCTTGATTGTAGTAAATGATACTCAAGAGTTATAAACTTTCATATAAAATTTTTATACCCAGCTTCTTTGGAAAAATTGGAAGAACTGAGAACAATCTAGCATGCCAGTGATGGTAACTGAGTAGCATCTCCCTCCTGCAAAGGCAGCATGCCATCTCCTATGAGCCTCATGCCCCTGCTCAACCTGCTGCTGTTGTTCATAGTACCTACCTTACTCTTACAACCATTTGAGTGTGTAGACAATGATGATGCTGCATGAGACTGGAATTTGAAACAGCTCTGCCGCTCATTAGCTGGGGGGTAACCTTGAAAACCTATTGTCATTTTTCTCTTTAATGAGTCTCATTTTTTTCTTTAAATAAAATGTGGATAACTGGTGCCTGACACATTTTAGTTAAATTATCCATTGTCCCTTTGGTGTACAGATAGAGAACTACGTAATTAACTGCAAATTGGTATTTGTACAAACATTAAGAATATTATTTCAATCCCATTTTGATAATATGCAAGGGGAGAGCCACTTATTTTAAAGATAGTAATCACAAATCCTAAATTCAAAATGATACAACTGAGAGCTTAATTATACCAGTTGTTAAAATAGTTCATTTTGTACCTGAAATGTTTGAAGAATTTGCATTGTCAACATCCTTGGATCTTTCAAAGATGGTGATAAACTGCCAAGGTAAATCAAAATACAAACTGAGTCTTTCACTGGACACTAAACACTAGATATACCAATAAATCCTCAAATTTACTAGATATACCTATATATATATCACTACAGCACCTTCCATAAAATATATCTGTGCTCTGCAATCTCAAATAATTGAGATTATTGAATTATTTGAGACTGAGGCTCATAGTTTTTGTGAAGTAAGATGCCTAAGATTGACCCTTGTTATGAATGCAGGCCTTGGCTAACACGAAATGAAGGTCAGTGGTTCAATATTAACTCATGAAAAATCTCAGCTCTGTCTGCGCCCTCTATCCTTGATTGAATTGACAAAAGTTAAAAATACTTTTCTGAAAAAAGATGTAATGAAAAGGGGAGAGAAATGATGATCACTTTGTAGCCCCAAATTTTATTTTATTGAAATCTTAGCCACTGCAAAGTCTGAAGCAATAAAGTGACTCTGTGGACCTGACAGTGCTGGGATTGCGTCTCCAATATTAGCTTTACTCTGTAGACCCTTATCAATTTTGAGTGCAGGAGCAGCAATTGTCCCAGAGAGGCATAAAATAGCCTGGGATAGGTGGTTGAAAAATGTCATCTGTTAAAAATCAATAAAATAAGGCTTAAATACATGAAACATGAAAAGAATGTGCAGTGTCTGTATCAAGTAAAGAGCAGCAGATATGATTACAAGAGTTTTACCATAGTTCTTCCAAGAAGACTTAAGTGTGCTCATGTATTAAGTTATTGTAAACAAGATACCTGAGGAATAAAATGGGGCAGAGACAATGTAAAGTATTGATTTTCAACTTAGGCTATATAATCACATTATCTGTGAAAACTTTTGTTTTCTAGGCTCTTTCTAGAGAATGTTGCAACAGAGCTAATAAATGAAATTGTACTTAAATGCTAGGAAAAACCAGTATATTATTTTGTGCACTTAAAAAAGGAATGCTGACTTAACCCAAAGAATTTTGTTAAGATATTTTAATATACCAGGGACAGGCCTCAGCTAGGGAGAGAGAACAGGGTGTAAGAAATTGTGAACAGGAGAATGCTTCCTGATATCCTACAAATCACAACACACAGTCCCTGACTGAACTATGAAAACCGAGTTGTGCTTAACTAGATCCCAATACATTCCAATTAAGGATAATTAAAAATACTTACCTCAACACTGCTTCTATTCTTTGACTTTTGTTCCTGAGAACTTTCTGTAGAGATTAAAAAAAAAAAGTAAAATAGTCTCTTTCTGAGGCATATATATTTGTTGACACAAATCTGATCATATTACTATTTTTCACCAAATAATCATATAATTTAGGCAGATGGAAGAAGTTGTTATTTTAAATGTACTGAGAACAACACTGAAATAGGAGAGAGCCCTAGAATGCTGGGGCATGTCTTAGCCCTTCAGTTAGAAATTATGAAAGATGAGGCTGGGAGTGGTGGCTTCACTTTGGGCCACCACTGAGGCCCAAGTAGGTGGATCACCTGAGGTCAGAAGTTCAAGACCACCTGGCCAACGTGGTGAAACCCCATCTCTACTAAAAAAAGTACAAAAATTATCTGGGCATGGTGGTGGGCACCTGTAATCCCAGCTACTTGGGAGGCTGAGGCAGGAGAATCACTTGAACCCAGAATACAGAGGTTGCAGTGAGCCAAGATTGTGCCATTGCACTCCTGCCTGGGCGAAAAGAGCAAAAATCTGTCTCAAGAAGAAAGAAAAGAGCAAAAGAAAGAAACAAAAAGAGAGAAAGAAAGAAAGAAGAAATATAGCATAGTGGGAGAGGCACGCTCTATAACTTAGCAGTTATATATCTATGCACAACCATTCAATCTGTATAAGCCTCTTTGTTTACGTGTAAAATGAGAGATTATAGATGATTCTTAACAGTGCTTCCAGCTCTACCACTTTCTGTACATACTTAAAAGCAGCTCATTAGAGTAAAGAGGAGAGTACTGATATTATTAAATAGTAACTTTTGGGACAATCAGGAGAGCTTTGAGGCAATGCCTGGAGGAAATTTGGTGGACTCTACAGAACCAAAAGTTGCCTGAGTAGATCAATATATTAGTGAAAGAAATTCAGTCAAGGAGATAGAAATGACACTGAGAGAAGCTTCAGAAGAACCCACTGCTAGGGAAGCAGCTAACCTGCTAAGACAGAAAACCTGTATTTGAATCTTTGCTTCGTTGCTTAGAGCTTTGTGAACATTGAACATCTAACTTCTCTGAATTAGTTTTCTCATACATACTGTATATGGGAATGAGACTGTCTTCCCTGGCTATCTCACAAGGGGCCACTGAGATATCATATAAGAAAACACTATGCATTTTATATAGCTGCACTCACCAAAAGCCAACAAAAGGAATATGCAGATAAAAGAATAACTATCTAAAATACCCTTTGGGCCAATATGGGCTCTAAAAAAAAGTAATAGTAAAATGCCAGTCAACTCAAATATGAGAAGTGATTAAATTATGTGATAAAATTGGTAAGATTTCACTGTTGCTTGATAATCTTCCTAAAAAATGTTTGTATCTATATTGCATATAATTGAACAAACTTTGTTTTAAATGATTGAAGACATTTGGGTTTGCTACAAGGGCCATGATTCCAAATAGAAAAACTACAAAGTTACTTTGATGAAGCAGCAGAGAAATATTCCTGATATTTGTGGGGCCCAGATGTTCAGTTTAAGTTATTTGAGATTTTATTGTATATTCTATGAATTAGGAATGCATATATCTGGCCTTGATCTTTCCACTGAATTTCAGACTTAAATATACAATTGTTTACATGACATCTCAACTTAAATGTCTAAAAGATACCTCAAACTCACATAACTAAAAAAGAAATCGTGTGCTCCTCCTTCACCTTTGGTTCCTCCCATAGTCTCTCCTATCTCATTAAATGCCTGTATCTACTATAAACCATGCCGTGTTTTAGGCTCTTGGTGATACAGCTGTGAACAGACATAAATCTCCATCTTTATGAGGCTTACATTCTGAAGAGACAGTCAAAAAAACAATTAAAATACACAATAAACAGAAAGTGCTATGCAGTAAAGCAAAGAACTGGGATAGGTAGCACCACGATCAGCATTAATTTGCAGTTTCAGAGTGTGATCAGAGAAGACTTCACAGAGAAAGTGACATTTGAGCCAAGATTTGAAAGTAAGGATATGCAGACACAGGTGAGAGAGTACTACAGGAGGATCAGCAAATCCAAGGGCCACTAACGTATAAAATGTTTGAGGAACAGCAAGGAGGCTAGGGTGATTGGAATGGATTGAGCCAGAAATAAACAGAGGAGGACCTTAGATGGGGAATGGTTTTTAGTTTGATAACTAAAAAAAATAATCAAAGCATAAACATTTCTTTTTGCATACTCTCTAATTTCAGAAAAAAGAATCCAACCTTCTAATATTTTAGTACTTGGATCTGAATGACAATCTTCAGCCTCACTAAAACAAAAGAAAAAAGAACATCACTTTAGGTATATTTAATAAATGAAGAACTTACTGGTTAAGCAAAAGAACAGTTATTCTTCATATGGAAAGAAACCTGAAATAGTATATTATTCACTGAGATTCCAAATCAAATGCTAATATTTCTGACTTTTTCCTCCTACTTTTACAATTGTGGTTATACATACATTAAATTTACAATTTTATCCATTTTAACTGTATAGTTCTGTAGCATTAAGTACATTTGCAGTGCTGTGCAACCATTATCATCATCCAGCTCCAGAACTTTTTCATCTTTCTCAACTGAAACTCTATGCCAATTAAACATTAAAACCTAATTTTCCTTTCGTCATCCCCTGGAAACCATTTGCTACTTTCTGTCTCTATGATTTTGACTATGCTAGGGACTCATATGAGAGTCATGAAGTATTTGTCCTTTTGTGCTGACCTGTGCTGACCTATCCCAATTAGCATAACATCTTCAGAGTTCATGCATCTGGTAGTGTGTGTCATAATATACTTCCTTTACGGCTGAATATTTATAACATTGAATATTTATAACACATGTTGTTTATTTACTCATCTATCAGTGGACATTGGGATTTGTCTATGGTGAAAAATGGTGTACAAATATCTGTTTCAGTCCCTGCTTTTAATTATTATGAGTATGTACACAAAAGTAGAATTGCTTGATCATAGGGTAAGTCTATGTTTAATTTTTGAGAACTCCTCAATACTGTTTTCCACAGTGACTGCACTATTGAAATTCCCACCATCAATGTAAGAGGGTTTCAATTCTTTACACCCTTACCAGTGCTTGTTTTCTTTTCCCTCCCTCCCTCCTTACCTCTCTCCCTCTCTTTTGTTCCTTCCTTCCTTCCTCACTCACTCCTCCCTCCTTCCCTCTCTTACTTCCTTCTTTAGTTATCTCTAATATGTTGAAAGTGGAATCTTGTGATTTTGATTTGCATTTCTTTAATGATTAGGAAAATGATTGCAAATCATTATATTGCCTATATTCAAGTCTATTCATGTCCTTTGGACATTTTTAATTGGGTTGTCTCACTGATGTTGAGTCATAAAATTATTTGCATATTCTGAATATTGATTATTTACTAGACGTACAATTTGCAAATATTTTCTCTCATTCTTTGGGTTGACTTTTCACTTTGTTGACAGTGTCCTTTGAAGCACAAAAGTTTTAATTATAATGAAGCACAATATATCTATTTTCTTGCCTGTGCTTTTAGTATCATAACAACAAAAACAACAACATTGTTAAATCCAATGTCATGAAGCCTTTCTCCCATGTCTTCTGACAGAAGTTTTTTTTAGTTCCTATACTTAAATCTCCAATTCATTTTGAGTTAATTTTTGTATATGGTTTAAGGTAAGGGTTCACCTTCATTTTTGTTTGCTTGTTTTTTGCATGTAAGTATTTAATTTTGCCATTACCACTTGTGGAAAAGGACATCCCATCCCCATTAGATGGTCTGGTTCTCTTGGGAAAATCATTTAATCATATATGAAAGGGTTTATTTCTCAGCTCTTTATTCCATTTCCTTGCTTTGTAAGTCTCTTTATGTCAGTATCACAGTGTTTATGATAGCTTTGTAGTAAGATTTGAAATCAGAAAATGAAACATCTGCATCTTTGTTCTATTTTAAGGTTGTTTTCCTATTAAAGGTCCTTTGAGACACTAGTGAACTTTAGGATAGATTTTCTATTTCTACAAAAAAAACTTGGTATTTTGATAAAGATTCCATTGATTCCATGGATTACTTTGAGTAGTATGAACATTTTAACAATATTAAATCTTCCAATCCATAAGCATGAAATATCTTTCTACTTATTTTGTAGTTATTTGATAAAGTACACATCTTTCAATTCCTTGGTTAAATATATTCTTTTTTATTCTGTTTGTTATTAATATAGATTTTTCTCCTTAATTGTCTTTAAACCTAAAGACAATTCATTGTAAGTATATAGAATGCAACTAATTTTTCTGTTTTGATTTTATATCTGGCAACTTTGCTGAATTAATTTATTAAATATAATAGATATTTGTCTGTATTCTTTAGAGGTTTCTACATTGTGACCATGTCATCTATAAACAATAACTTTTCTACTCTTCCAATTTGAATGCCTATCCCTCTTTTTCTCGCCTAATATTTCTGGCTAGCACTTCCAGTACTATGTTAAATATAAGCAGCAAAAGTAGTCATTGTTTTTTGTTTGTCCCTGATCTCAGAGGAAATATTTCATTTCCTTACCCTGAGGACAATGTTAGCTATAGATGTTTTATATATGGCCTTAACAATACTGAGGCAGTGTCCTTCTCTTTCTGGTTTGCTGAGTCTTTTTATCCATGCAGAAGTGTGAACTTTTGTCAAGTAGTTTTTCTGCATCATTTGAGATGGTTCTGTGTGTGTGTGTGTGTGTGTGTGTGTGTGTGTGTGTGTCTGTGTGTGTGTATGTATGTGTATGTTTCCCTTTCATTCTGTTAATGCGATGTATTGATTTTTTTTTTCTTTTTTAAGATAGGGTCTCATTCTGTCACCCAGGTTGGAGCAAAGTGGTGTGATCACAGCTCACTGCAGCTTCAACTTCCTGTGCTCAATAAATTCACCTGGCCAAGCCTCTTTAGTAGCTGGAACCACAGGTGCACACCACCACCCCTGGCTATATTTTGTATGTATTTTTTTGAAGAGATGGGGTTTCGCCATGTTGCCCAGCCTGGTGTCAAATTCTCAGGCTTGAGAAATCTGCCTGTCTTAACCTCTCAAAGTGCTGGGTTTATAGTAGCTGTGCCTTGCCTATTATTGGTTTTTGCATATTGAAACTTGCTTGCATTCCTGGGATAAATCTAACTTGGTCATGATGTATAACCCTTTTAATGTACTGCTGAATTTGGTTGGTTAATATCTTGTTGAAGATTTTTTATCAATATCCATCAGTAATACTGGTCTATAGTGTTTTCTTGCAGTCTTTGGTCTTGGTAATAAGCTAATGATAGTATCATGACTTTGGAAGTACTTCCTCTTTTCAATTTTTTTGAGAAGTCTGAGGGGGATTAGTGTTACTTCTTTTAAATTTGTGACATTCATGAGTGAAACTATCTGGTTATCAGCTTTTCTTTGTTAGGAGGTTTTTCAGTTATTGTTCCAATTTCTTTACTATTTCTAAATTTGTTCAATATAATTTAGCATAATTTGGTCTTGACAGGTTGTGTATTCTAGAAATTTATACATTTCATCTGGAGTATCCAATTTGTTGGACACACAATTATTCACAGTACCCTCATATAATCCTTTTTATTTCTGTAAACTCAGTTGCTATTTTATCTCTTTCGTTTATGATTTTGGCTGTCTTTCTTTCCTTAGGCAATCTAGCTAAAGACTTGTCAATTTTGTTGATTATTTTTTAATGAAAAACCTCTTGGTTTTATTGATTTTCTCTACTGTGTTTTTATTCTTTATTTTATTGCTGCTCTAATCTTTATTATTTTCTTTCATTTAATACCTTTTAGTTTGTTCTTTTTCTAGTTTCTTAAGGTGTAAAGTTAGGTTGTTCGTTTAAGATCTTTCTTATTTATTAATGAAGAATTCACAACTATAAATTTTCCTCTTAACATTGCTTTCGTTGTATTCCTTAAGTTTGGTAAGTTTGGTAAAGTTTCCTTATCATTTCTTTTTTGGCCCATTAGTAGATAGTATATTGTTTAATTTTCACATATTTTAAGCTGTTTTGGCTTTCTTCTGCTATTGAGTTCTAGTTTTGTCTCCTTGTAATTTAAAAATATATTTTGTATAAATTCAAACTTTTAAAATTCATAAAGACTCATTTTGGGGCCTAAGATACAGTTTATCTTTGTGTGCTATGTACATTTGAGTAAATGGTGTATTTTGTTACTGTTTTATATAAATATATCTGATAGATTCAATGAATCTATAGTGTTATTCACATCTGTATTAGGTTGTTCTCATTCTGCTATAAAGTTCTGCCTGATATTGGATAATTTATAAAGGAAAGAGTTTTAATTGACTCATAGTTTCGCATGGCTGGAAAGGCCTCAGGCAACTTACAATCATGGTGAAAGGGGAAGCAAACACATCCTTCTTCACCTGGTGGCAGGAAGGAGAAGTGCCAAGCAAAAGGGGGGAAAGCCCCTTATAAAACCATCAGATCTCATGAGAACTCATTCACCACCATGAGAAAAGCAGCATGGGGGTAATTACCTCCATGGTTCAATTATCTTCAACCTGGTCCCTCCCACGAATTATGGGAACAACAATTCAAGATGAGATTTGGATGGGGACACAGCCAAACTATATCAACATCCTCTATTTTCTTATTTTGTTTGGTTGTCCCTCCATGATTGAAAATGGCCTATTAAAGTCCTTTACTATTATTGTAGAGCTGTTTATTTCCTGTTCAATTCTGTTAGTATTTATTTTATATATTTTGGAGCTCAGATGTTGATGCATACAGATGCTCCTTAACTTACAATGGGGTTACTTCTCAACAAACCCATTTTAAATGAAAAATATCATACATTTAAAATTCATCGAACACATCCAACCTACCAAACCACATTGCTTATCCTAGCCTACCTTAAATATGCTCAGAACACATACATTAGCCTGCAGTTTAGCAAAATCATCTAACACAAAGTATTAAAAATATTGTATAATATATTGAATAGTGTACTGAATGTGTACATTGCTTTCACATTGTCATAAAGTTAAAAAATTCTAAGTCAAATTATCATTAAGCTGGAGACCATTTATATATGTTTTTAATTATTAGCTCTTCCTGGTGAATTGATGCTATTATCATCATATAATGTCCTATTTTTCTCTCTCTCTCTTTTGGTTTCTATTTGCAATGGTGTATATTTTTCCATTCTTTCACATTCAACCTACATGTATTCTTAGATCTAAAGTGAATATCTTGCGAATAATATACAGTTGGATTCTGTTTTTAAAATCCGTTTTGTCATTCTATATCTTTTGATTAAAGTGTTTAACCCAGTCATACTTCAAGTGATTAGAATAGAGAAAGACGTTCTTTTGCCATTTTATTGTTTTTTTGCATCTTACAGTTTGTCCTTCATTTCTTCCATTACTGTCTTCCTTTGTATTTAGTTGAGCTTTTTAGTGACACATTTTGATTCAGTTCTAATTTCTTTTTATGAATATTTTATGGATATTTTCTTTGTGGTTACAACAAGGGTTATGTATAACATCCTAAAGTTAAGATTCTATTTTTTAATTGATACCAAGTTAACTTAATTGCATACAAAAACTCTACTCTTTGACACATTTATTCCATAATCAGTTTATGTTACTGAGGTCCCAAATTATATCTCTTCATATTCTGTACCTATTTGCATAAATTTATAATCTGTTTTATGCATTTGTCTTTTAAATCCCTTAGAAATTAAAAAGTAGATATATGAGCTAAATTATAATACTGTTTTTTAATATTTATTCATGTATTTACATTTGTTAAAAATTATGTAGTCTCATATGTGTCTGAGATACTGTTTAGTATTATTTCAGTGTTCTTTTTAACTTGAAGAACTTTCTTTGGTATTTCTTCTCAGGTAGGTCTACTGTTAATGTATTCCCTCAGCCTTTTTTCTTGTCTTGAGTATCTTAATTTCTCCTTATTTTTGAAGAACATTTTTTTCGGATGTAGAGTTCTTGTTTTATTGTATTTTTTTTTCTTTCACTCTTTAAATATATCATCCAACTGCCTATTGGCTTATGACTAATGAGAAAACCACTAATAATATTATGAGGATTATTTATACATGATGTATCAATTTCCTTTTTCTACTTTAAAGATTCTCTTTGTATTCTGAATGTTTAATATGTGTCTTGATGTGGTATGTTTGTGTTTGTTCTGCTTGAAGTTTTTTAAGCTTCTAGAATTTATGTATATAATTCTTCAAATTTAGTAAGTTTCAGCCATTTTTTTTTCCTAAAATAATCTCTCTGTTTCTTTCTCAAACTCTTCTTCTGGAATTTACATAATATGTATATTGTTCTGCTTGATGGTGTTTTCAGAATCCCTTAGGCATTGCTCACTTTTTTTCCAGTATTTTCTCCTTTTGGTCTTTAGACTTGACAACTTCAAAGTACTTGCATTCAAGTTCACTGATTGTTTCTTCTGTCTGTCCAAGTTTGCTGTTGAACTTCTCTAATAAATTTTTTAATTCAATTTCCTTAGTTCTTTGTCTACCTACATTCTTGAACATATTTAAGATGGTTGTCTTAAAGTCTTTGCCATGTAGGTCCAACTGATATGGTTCTTCAGAAACATTCTCTGGGTATTCTTTCAAATGAGCTTTATTTCCCTATTTTTTGTATGCTTAGTGATCTTTTGTTAAATATGAGTATTTGAAATAATAAAGAAGCCACTTCTTCTAGTGTTTGCTGATTGATGTGGAAAATCTTTACTAATTAGTAGGACTTTGAGCCTTGCAAACAGTCCAAAGTGAAGACTTAGACTTGTTCAGATCTTTACTGTGCATGCAGCTTTCAAGCCTATGTTTGTGCTTCCCCAAACCCAAATTTTCTGAGCTGCTTTTAAATGATTTAATTTCACAAAGAGTCATTCCTTGCTCCTTCTCAGAAACTTAGATGTTCTACATCATCTCTCTATTCTCATAATTTCTTGCCCAAGATGTTTATGGTTCTGCAGTCCCCCTGTAGTTTTCATGCATTGTGTCAGCTATCCACTACTTTCTGTAGTTTTCAGGCTTAAAACCAAATGATACCATTGCCTATTTGAGTTTCTAGTCAGGTGAAACAAAAATAATTTCCTAAGAAAGCCCATAGATAGGTCAGAACAAGATCTATTCTGCTTTTTCGACCAAAGGGAGGACACTATAAATTGGGCTCCTTTCTCTTGACTGTGTTATACCATGCTGGGAGGAAGCTGAGTCTAAGAACAAGCTAAACTGCACATTTTTGTTTTAATTTTGAATGTGTTTTTCCCTTTCTCTCTTTCTTCCTCCTTCCCTTTCTTCACACCTCTCTCCCTCCTTTCCTTCCCTTCCTTTTTTCTTTCCTCCTTCCTTTCTCTTTCTCTCATACTCTTTTTCTCTCTCTTTTCTTACGTCCTCTTTCACCTTCTTTCTTTTCTTTTCTTCCTTCCTCTTTCTCTTGTTCTCTCTTTTCTCTCTCTCTCTCTCTGAGTATCACTCTGTTGTCTGGGCTAAAGTGCAGTGTAAAATTATAGCTCACTGTAACTTCAAACTCCTGAGCTCAAGCAACTCTGTCACCTCAGCCTCTTGAGTAGCTAGCACCAGGTGCGCATGACCATTCCAGCTAATTTTGTATTACTTTATTTTATTAGAGTTAGGGTCCTGCTATGTTGCCCAAGCTAGGTTCAAACTCCTTGCCTCAAGCAATCCTCATGCCTCGGCCTCCCAAAGAGATGGAATTACAAGCATGATGCACTATGCCCAGCCAGCTTTTTCTTGATTCAGTATTTATTTGCTTGCTGCAGACTGTTTTCCAGAGCTGTTATAAAGTTGCGTTAGTCAGTTTGTAGTTGCTTATATTTTGTTTCCATGGGAAAATCAGAACCTTGAGCTTCCTGGTATTATCTTGCTTTAAAATTATTTTTATTTAGTATTATTTATGCCTGCTTTTACTTCAATGATATAACCAATAGAGAGGTTCCAACATTACTAGTTATGTAGGTTACAATAACATGTTATGCAGGAGGAAAGAGACTATGGTGAGCCAAAATATGGTTATGTCAAAAAAAAAAAAAAAAACAAAAAATACAATTCCAGCATGCTGAATGAAAAAAATAAATCACTAGGTAGATTTTTCTATGTATATCATCAGTATTCACCAGATAAAAAATGTTATCTTTTCTAAGTTATGTATAATTTTATACATTTAAGCACAATTTTAGATATTTTAACTATTCTTGATAGAGTTATTACCAGATTACAAGTCTACAGGGCACTTTGTTCCTCCTTGTCCCCTATAACTGTTAAGTTATATTTTGCCGCTAGTGTCATCCACACTTGGATTGTCTTTCACTTGCATAAGTGCTATCCATTCTTAAAGAGTCACATCAAACTCCATTGCTTTCTATGATTTATCTCTGAATGCTCCAACTTACATTTCTTGCTCATTCCTTTGGGGATTCTTCTTATAGGCAATGAACACTAGCTTTGTGAAGAGAGCTAAGCATGGCACCTTTTGTACTGATACTACTTACTCTATTTCTGGGCCATTACCTTTCTCTCATGTTAGAAAATAACCTAATACATTAACAAACACTTTAATAAGACTACAAAGAAGATACACTAGAAACTGGTTTCAAAACTGGGACATATAGGCCAGATGTCTAAAAATGAATGAGCAAATAGCAAGACATGGCTTTGGAATTATCCACAGTAGGGTTCCAATGAAAGGAAGAAGTGAGGGAAGGTCTGAAGCTAAATACATGCTCAGTTACAGTTTTGCCAGGGGTCCCATTCTACCCACAAACTCTAGTTTATCAGATTTCTATATTTGGACTGCTTTAATTTCACATACCCAGTAGATGAAATGAGATCTTCTTGGTTGTATGAAGATGAACTCATAATTCTGTGTATGAAGTAATGCGGTGGTTCAGTAAGAAGATTCTTCTCTTCTTTCTGGAAAAGGACAAATCAGCTATTGGTCTAAATGGAATTTGAGATATACTTTATTGCCTTATGGCATTTCTTTGCCATATAATCTATATTTTAAGAGCACAAACTTTTAGAAATTACTTAAAAGATTGATGAACCCTATAATTGTAATTAAAAAGTGTCGTTGAATATAATTAATTTGAAATAGTTCAGTGAAGATTACCCAAATTATGATACTCGATTTGAACAAATTTTAAACATAAATCTAGAACAATGTTGAAATCCACCTCTAAACTTTAAAAACATTTAAAATCATATATTATGGGGTTCAAAAAGAGGAAGAACACAAATACAACTCTGGTCAATTAGGTATCTTGCCAGATCAGTCATCTTAACACATATTTTGATCTATTTGTTGCAAAGTCATGTGTACTTCTGAATTGAGCAGAGTTATATTTCTGTTATTTTCTGTAGTTCATCTAAGTTTTGTTTTACCTTAGAATCACATCAAATGGATAATCAAGAGAATGGCCTCATCAGAATATTAAAAATAATATATTCTCCAAAAACATGTTATGGTATAGATTTTTGGACAGGACCAAACTCAAAAGGTCATTGAGACCCAGACCATCATTTGAGGGTTTGGAGCCAGCAACAAGAGATGTTAACCATGCTGATGGCAGAGATGATGGGCTAATTGTAAGGGTGATGTTTAAAATACATAAATTATCTTGTTAAGTTTGGGTAAGTTGGTGATATAGCTTATCAAAAGATCACCTAGCTACAGTGTCAGGATTCAAACTTATCAGCAAAAATACAAAAGGGTGAAAACCAATTGTTTTTAATAATTGGTTTACATTTTTCTTAACAGTTTCATTTTCCCTTTTCTTTGAGATTCTAATTAATCTAGTTTTTCCCCTCTTATCTGCTTTCCTACAGTTGAGATTCACAGCTCTGCCTGGTAATTATTTCCCTTATTCTGTAAATATCACCAGGCTTGAGACTGAATTCATTCTTTTCTGACTAACCAAGATACATTATTGGGCCATATTTGTAAAGCTGTCTCCCCTTTCTTGTCACTAACTGTCATGCTTCTCACTTACCTGACATAGTGGCTTTTCTTCCCAAGATGAAGAGGCTGTTTCAGGAATGGCTTTTTTTAAGGCCATGTCAAGCTCAGCAACAGCTCTTTTAACATGTGTCTTCTTAGATTCTGTTACCTGATTTGAGGTTGCTTCAGTACTTTCAATATTTGCACTGGCTGTGGTTTGACAACATTTACTTAGTGACAAAAGCTTTTTCAGGCTGCTAGCACTTAGTGTTGACTTAGGAGAAGCTTTGTTTTCTTCTAGCTTCTCGACTTCTTTTACTTGATCTTTAAATACTTTGACGCCTTCTTCTGCCACAGTCTCTCTTAAAACAACTTCATCGTCATCAGAATCGAGTTCCTCTTTTATGTAATTTTCCAAATGCACTTGATCAATATCATGAGCCACTAATCGAACAATAAGATCATTTTTGTTTTGCACATCTTTTAGGAGCTCCACCCTTGTAATATCAGGCTTTCTTATATTTTGAAATGAATTTCTGCCAACAGCCTGAAAATAAAGGTATAGCAAATATTAAAAACAAATGTCTAAATCACTTTTCCTATAGTTTGATTATAATGTAGCTATTTTCTTGTGATTTCTAAGTAATATTTTAAGTAATATCTTCAATTATCACTTAATTTAATATTAGCAATATTTTTAAAAGAAATAAAGTCAAATAAAAATATTTGTTGGCATGCATCACCTTTTTACATTTATATACACATCAATCTAATCTAACTTACTCCAAAAGTCAGAGCAAGATATAACATAATTAAATTACTTCTTTATCATTTATCTTGAATGTTTTGTGACAGAGGAAGACAAGATAACCTATTTTCCAAAAATCCTAGGTAAGGAATTATAGAGAAATCTAAATATACATACATTCTTTTCTTTCTTTTTTTTCTTTCTTTCTCTCTTTTTTTTTTTTTTTAGATAGAGTCTCTCCCTGTTACCCAGGCTGGAGTGCAGTGATACGATCTCGGCTCACTGCAGCCTCTGACTCCCAGGTTCCAGTGATTCTTTTATCTTAGCCTCCTGAGTAGCTAGGACTACAGGAGTGCCACTATGTCTGGCTAATTTTTGTATTCTCTTGTAGAGACAGGGTTTCATCATATTGGCCAGGCTGGTCTTTCTTTCTCTTCTCTGCTGTGCCCTTTGTTGAAGATAGATAATATTGGTAGCCAGACTGGAGCAAATAACATGCCTTAACTGAGTTGCCTGTGTCTGCTTCTTTATTGTTTTATTTTTAGGATGGCTTTTCCTTCCTTGAACAGGACAGTGGTATTTGTTTCAGTTTAAATATTCCTTTCTTGCACTCTGTGGTTATAAATAACTCAAGTAAAGAAAGCTTGTAACTAAGAGTAAGATTTGTGGCAGATAATTCTATAGATAATTAACTGAGTTTACTTAATGTTATAGTCTGTTCACTTAATTTTTTTCCCAGGCAATAATTTTTATATGAATGAAGACTACCAAGTATTTGCTAATATAATGAGAGCCCAGATTAAAAATAAAATTTTGGAGCTGGAAGAGACTATCATTTCTTCCAAAAAAGCAAGAGTAAAGAAGGTTAAAGAAGTTTTAGACCATGATAAACTAAGAATTTTGGTGTGTGTTAGGTCACTCTTGCACTGCTATATTTACCCGAGACTGGGTAATTTATTAGAAAAGACATTTAATTGTCTCTTAGTTCTGCAGGTTTTACAGAAAACATAGCGGCATCTGCTTCTAAGGAAGCCTCAGGAAGCTTCCAATCACGTCAGAAGGCAAAGGGGGAGCAGGCACATCGCATGGAGATAGCAGGGGCAAGAGAGAGTTGGGGGCAGTTGCCACACAATTTTAAATGACCAAGTAGCATGAGAACTCACTCACTATCATGAAGACAGCACTAAACCATGAGAGATCCATCCCCCTGACCCAAACATCTCCCACCAGGCCCCCTCTTCCAGCATCGCAGATTATAATTCAACCTGAGATTTGACAGGAGAACAAATATCCAAACTATATCATTCTGCCTGTGGCTCCCCACAAATCTTTTATCCTTCTCACACCACAAAATACGATCAAAAACAAAATAGTTACCTCCAAGAGACAATGGGAGTACAGGCATTGGGCAAACATTCATGTTTGAAAAGAGAGAAATTGGCCTGATGCAAGAGGCTACAGGCCTCATGCAAGTCCAAAATCCAGAAGTGCAGTCATTAAATCTTAAAGCTCTAAAATCATTTCCTTAGACTCTATGTCCCACATAAAGGGCACAATAATGGGAGGGGTGAGCTCTCAAGGCCTTGGGCAGCCCCACCCCTGTGTTTTTGCAGGATGCAGCCCTGGTGGATGCTCTTGGAGGCTGCTGAGTGCCTGAGGCTTTTCCACTCTGAGGTTGCAGGATGCTGGTGAATCTACCATTCTGGGGTCTGCAGAATGCAAAATCTCTTCCAACAACTTCACTAAGAAGTGCCCCAGTGGGGACTCTGTGTGGGACCTTCAACCTTACATGTCCCTCCTGCATGCCCTGGTAAAAGTTCTCTGTAAGGGCTCCACTCCTGCAGCAGGCTTCTGCCTGGGCATACAGGTTTTTCCATATTTCCTCTGAAATCCAGACAGAGGCTGAGAAGCCTCATTTATTCTTGGATTATGTGTGCCTATACACTTAATACCACATGGAAACCACCAAGGCTATAGCTTGCAGCCCATGCTGTAACTGGGTCCCTTTGAGCCATAGCTGGAAGAGGAAAAAGGAGCCATGGGGATGTGAACAGTGGAGTTCTGAGGCTGCAGAGCCATGAAACCATTCTTTCCTCCTAAGCCTCTGGAACTAAAATAAAACAGATTGCAGTGAGAGTCTCTGAAATGCCTTTGATGCCTTTTCTCCATTGTCTTGAATATTAGCACTTAGCTCTCTATCAGTTTTGCAAGTTTCTCTAACAAGTGATAGTTCCACAGCCGCCTTGAATTTCTCTCAACAAAGAACAAACAAAACCAAAAAAACAAAACTTTTTCTTTCTTTGCCATATGGCTGAATTCAGTTTTGCAAGTTTCTCTAACAAATGATAGTTCCACAGCCTTCTTGAATTTCTCTCAACAAACAAACAAACAAAAACAAAAACCCAAAACTTTCTCTTTCTTTGCCATATGGCTGAATTTTCTTTTTCTTTGAGTTGGAGTCTCAACTTTGTCACCCAGGCTGGAGTTCAGTGGCATGATCTTGGCTCACTGCAACCTCTGCCTCTTGGGTTTAAGTCATTCCCATGCCTCAGCCTCCGAAGTAGCTGGGACTATAGGCATGTGCCACCACAGTAATTTTTTGTATTTTTAGTGGAGATGTGGTTTCACCATATTGGCCAGACTGGTCTTAAACTTCTGCCCTCAAGTGCCCCACCCAGTTCGGCCTCCTAAAGTGCTGGGATTACAGGTGTGAGCCACTATGCCCAGCCAATTTTCCAGACTTTATGCTCTGCTTCCCTTTTAAATATAAATTCCAAATGTAAGTCATTTCTTTCCTCCTGCATCTGAGAACAGGCTATTAGAAGCTGCCAGGTCATATCTTGAATGCTTCATTTATGAGCAAGTTTTTTCTGTCAGCTATCCTAGGTCATCATTCACATGTTCAAACTCCACAGAACTCTAGGGCATGGACACAATGCAGCCAAGTTTTTTGCTAAGGCATAACAAAAGTGACCTTTGCTCTAGTTCCCAATAAATTCCTCATTTCCATCTGAGACCATATCAGCCTCCACTTCATTGTCCATATCATCATTGTCCATCAGCCTTTTGGTCACAACCATTTATCCAATCTCTAAGAAGTTCCAAACTCTCCTTAATCTTCCTGTCTTCTTCTGAGCCTCCAAACTCTTGCAGCCTCTGTCTGTTAATCAGTTCCAAAGGTGCTGGTTAACAGAAAAATATTTTCAGTTACTTCCCCACTCCTTGGTACCAATTTTCTGTGTTACATCATTCTTCCACTGCTATAAAGAAATTCCTGAGAGCAGGTTATATATAAATATATATAAGATATATAAGATAGCATATATTACCTTATATGTATTAAATTACCATATATTAATATATTAATAACCTTATACATTTATTTATATATGAATATATATCTTAGGTTATATTTTATTATATGCATCTGTTTCTGGTGAGGACTGAGGAAGCTTCCAATCATGATTGGAAACAAAATAAGAACAGGCACATCACATGGTGAAGGCAGGAGAAAAAGATTTTGTGTGTGTTGGGAGGGTATGTGCCACACACTTTTAAATGACCAATCTTGCAACAACTCACTATTGCAAAGACAGTGTTAAGCCATGAAAGCTCAGTCCCCATAACCCAGACACCTTAAATCAGTATCCACCTCCAGCACTGGGGATTACAATTCAACATGAGATTTGGGCAGGGATAAATATCAAACTATACCAGGGTGTGAAAACTTAAAATATTAATTAACATATTTACTAGCCTTGAGATTCAGTTTAGTGGGTTGCAGAAGAGTGCTGAAAAAAGTTTACTCTAAGCTTATGCTCCAGAAGGCATGGTTCTATAAAACTTTGCTAATTGTCCAGGCTACAAACTACATGCCTAAGCATACTCAGCCCTCTCACAAATGCACACAATCTGTTAAAGGGATTTTAATACAAATCAAAATCCCTGATGGATCAGTGCAAACTACTTGTTTGTGAGACAAATCTTTGGTCTTCAGTAGTAGTTTCCTTGTAATAAGGACATTATTTTTGACATTTTAAATTCTCAGTTAAAATATTTGGGGCCTGAGTATATGCAGAGTTAGGACTCAAGCAATAGGAAAGAGGCTTATAAAAACAGGAGCACTAATGCAGCTGGGTTTAGATAAACAAGTGTGTAAGCCTGAAAAAAATGGATACATCTTGAGAGACCAGGGCAAATCGGAAAGAGTAATATACTTGAAGTAAAATAGAATAAATTTAATTTAAGAGTTTGCGGTCTAATGTTTGCTGATAAATTTTACTGAAAGAAAATGAGTACTACTCAGGAGCCTTAAATTTGAAAATTAAAACTATTTTAGATTGTTCTGTAAATCCTGATATTCTTTTAACTGGCCTGTTTGAACACCTTTAGATATCCATAACGAACTAAGGAACTACACAAGATTGCTACTTCTAAATATTCAAATGTCAATTATAACTCCTGTCAATCTGGTTTTACTGTGAAGGGTATATGCTTATAATCACATTCTTAAAAAAAAAAAAGTTCAAAACGATTGTCTTAGGAAAACCAGCCTGAGACTTTCAGAGTGAGCCACAGAAATAACATGGCAAATCCTAGTAAATAACATGAATGTATGGATGAACCGATGCAACCACTTCTCCTATTGGGCTAAGCAACAGCAACAACAATGAATGCATCTCCATATACTTATTTGAGGAAGGAAATCACAGAAAAACCATGTCTCACTATCCACTCATCTTCCTGCCATTACTTTTACACTTACCTCTAAGGGTTTTACATCCAGTCTTCCAGTCTTATTCAATGAGGTACGTCTTTCTCTCTTTCTGTTTTCTAAATTAGGTGATTCAGAGTAGTAATTTCTACCATTTATTGATGCTCTTCTCAGTTCTGCTATGCTACATCCAGTTGTTTTCAAACATTCCTGTTTAAGTTTCTCAAGAGGTTGAGTTTTTATAGAAATAACTGCTAAGTGTTCAGAAATAATTTTTGGATCTATTTTGACTGGTTTTTTCCCAACATGTGGAACTATTTTAATAGGGTAGTCCTCTTCAGATGAACCTTGCTCTAACTGTTCTTCCTCCGATTCAGAAATCATATTAACAGCATGTTCTTGTGCCTTTTGAACAATTCTGTTAATGTCTAGCTCTCCAGAGAGATCAGCATTTGAAATTGTTGAGCCAATTGTATCTAATGGAAAACTTGAAACTCCATCAATAATTAAACTAGCCACTTTTTTAGGAAAGACTGTGTTTGTATCTTTTATATCATAATAAAGTTCTTTGTTGGTTCCTGATTGTTGTAGTATGTTATTATAAACAGAATTAACAACCTGATAAACCCTTTCTATATTTTCTGGATTTAAAGAGTTTTTTTCAGGATCAGAAGCTATTAGACTAATGCTACTTCTGGAAATTTCAGCTGTTACAGATTTTGTCAGTTGAGATGCAATTTTATTTAACTCGGGCTTTGATAAGTTTTTTTCACCTTTGCTTGAGGAACTTGGCAACCTTACTAGTTTAGCCAAGAACAAGGCCAACACCTCTTCTAACAGTTTGACATCTAATGTCAAACCATTTCTGGACGAATACTTTTCCTGAGACTTAAGTTCATCAATAATTTTGGTCACTTTTTCCATAATTTTGACAGCTTCCAGAACTAATTCTGAATTTGATACTTCTTCCTCTACTTGAGGTTGAAATTCAGAATTGGAAATTACATTCACCAATAAAAAGCCTATTATTTCTGAGAGGACACTACCTTTACCCATTAAATCTTTAAATATAGAAGTAAAAGAACCAAAGTGCTTTAAAACACTGGTAAAAACAGAATTAACTATGTTTTCAATAGTTGCATTATCAGCTACAGGTACAGTAGGTGATTCCTTGGTGGGTGCTACAAGTTTAATCTTACTTTTGAAGATAAATCCTTGGACTGAATTTAATATTTTTGAAGTTATTTTTAGCATTTCAGTTTCTAAGGATTTGGTTCTTTCTTTATGCACTTTTGGAAATACAGATAAAAGCTTTGATAAGAATTTCACAGCAATTTCTTCTATTATGTTATAAGACAGCTTATGAGCATGTGATGGTTTAGGTAAGGGCACATCAGTAGTTTGGAAAACATCTTTAAGGATATTTTCAACAATGTTTTCAACTTCCACACACTGACGCGGAGTTAGCTCTCCACAAAAATAGCTCTGCAACTGATTGCCAGCCACTTCTCGTAGAACCAAGTCAACTATGGTTTCTGAAAGGATTTTGCATCCACTGGTGACACAATTTCGTATGATCTCTTGTGATCCAAACTGTGGCAAGAGATTGTTATAAACAGACTGAACCACTAACTGAGTAATTTCATGATCATCAGATTGTAAGGATTCTACATACTGTATAATCATATGTTTATTTTGGGAGATCTCTGTTGCAACTGCACTTACTAACTTAATTTGAAAGAAATCCAGTTCTGTGAACAAATTATCCTCAAGTTTTCTTGTTTCTGTGATGGATATTGTTGAGAAAATTTTAGATAAAAGAGCAGAAATCACATTCTCTAAAAATTTGTGAGGTAATATTATTGTATATGGTGATGAAGTTTGACATTCTTTGCTGGCTGTTTGGGCCAACTTTTGGACCTTTTTAACAACATCCTTAGATTCCAGAGGCAAACATGCTGAAACTGAAACCTCATCACAAAATATCAAGTTAAGCTGATGGTGAAAAATTTCATTTATCACTGCACTAGTTAGTCTTCTTGCTAAATTTTCTCCATTACTGTTTATATTCTTACAAATAGAGTCTTGAGATCCATATTCATTTAAAATATTACAAACAGAAGAGTGAACAACCTTATTGACCAATGTTTTGTCAGTTGATGGTATCTTAACTGAAGGTTTTTTAGTCATTTTATCAACAGGTGGCATTTTATCTGCAGATTTTATCTTAATGCTGGATGGTGCTTCATCTGTTGTTGGCTCTTTTCCCACAGGTGGGAAAAACTGATTCCCCTTGTCTGGTCTGAAAACCTTAATTTGGGCATCTGAAAACTCCTTTAACAGTGAATCAATGAGCTTCATAGCAGTGTCATAGAGTTTAGCTTGATTTTTCTCATCACAGACATTTTGATCTATATCTTGTATTTGTGTTTCTGGTATAGAAGAAAAGATCAATTTTTTAACCATCTCAGTAATAACATCTTCTAAAAATTTAGCGGGAAAAATTCCAGGTTTATTTTTTGGTTGGTACTGAGGGCCGTCTGGTTTACTGGGTTCACTTTTAATCTCCTCTCTTTCTTCCTCTTTTTCTCTCTCTTTCTCTTTTTCTTTGGCAGGGACATTTTTGTTAGTTGAGAAGGATAAGTTTTTTGTTGTAGCAGACTGTGCTGAATCCCTGCTGACCTCTTGAATTACATTTAATGCATTATCACCTGGAGGGCTTTTGTCATAACTGAGTTTTGAATAATATGCTGGTTCTGGAGAAGAAGATCGTTGTAAAACATCCTCATAAATATTTTCAATGACACTTTGAACATGTTCATAATCTGAGTGGTGTTCCTCATCCCTATCTGTTTGGGTTGGAGAGTCTCTTCTCCCCTCATTGCCTTGAGTTTCTATTTCCAAAGTCTCCATTGTGGTCCCTAGATTTCTCTGGGACTTTGGAGAAGGTAACTGAAAGACCTTACCATCTTTTTTAAATGATCTTTCTTTTGCATTATCAATCTTCTTTTTATAGCGTATTTCAGAATCTGATCCAAGTACTTCCTTCTCATATTCTATATTATCAATTATTAATGGAAAATGTGTGTGTACCTCATAATCCTGCCCTTCTTTATATTTTGGAATTAAATTTCTTTTCTTCTCAATTTCATTATTTTTAAATGTTTCACTCAAATTTGGCTCCTGAGTATCTTTACATTTCACACTAGTAGTTGAAGAAGTGATTTTTGATACATTCCCACTATGTTTTTGAGTACAAATTCCCACTTTATTTTCATCCACTTTCTTCTTATTTGTCACACCTGTGGCTGACTCTGATATCAGGTTAATTATGCTGCTTTTCATAATTGCATTTGTAGAGCTAAGTACTGGATTTTGGATGTCACCTTTTATCACTGATGTGTCCTTGGTTTTAAAACTTTTCTTTCTACTCACTGTATCTCTATTTATTTCCAAAGTGCTCACTGTGCTTTTGCAGTCTGAGGTGGAAGAAGTATCTTTATATGCTTGATCTGGTAAAGGGAGTTGGTTCTCTGTTAAGCATCTGCTTATTTGTGTAGAGGTGTTTTGTGGTAGATGTTGAACCCTTTGGGTGATATTATCTGGATTTAGAAATGAAAAGAGGGTGGAAGACCAGTCTCCTGAAAAAAGTGGTTGAATCTTGAATGCAGACATTGCCTTCTGGGCTAGAGCAGCAATCATCCCTATAGCAATGTTACTTTCATCACCTTTCTGAGTATCATTAGATGTGCATTTTTCTATGAACTGATCATATACAAAATTGGATATTTTATCAACAGTCTCTTTATCAATTGGTGGAAAAGAAAACAATTTTTCAGCATTTGGTAAAACTTTTATTTCACTTTTCTTAAATTCCCTTATCAGAGAATTTGCAAATTTTAGAGCTAACCCCATAATATCTGGCTCTGCCATTTCTTTTTTCCTGGAGTCTTTAGTAATAATGGGGAGACAACAAAATTTGTGAACCAGGTTAACGATTATGTCTTCCAAAAATGTAGCTGAATATAGAGAAGGCTGTGTCTTTTCTTTACCAGATTTAGCAAGTTCAGAGACATGGTCATAATTGGGTAAGTCACTGAAAGATGATTCTTCACCATGTAAAAATGGCTGTAAATGATGATACATGATTTCCTTCATAATAAAACCAGCTATTTTACTGAGGAATGAGTGTCCTTTTTTGTCTGCATCTTTTTGTACTTCAGCTTGGAATTCAGAAGTTTTCAAAATATTGTTACATATGGAGTTGACCAAATTTTCAGTAGGTTCTAACTGCGTACTTTCTGCATTATCCTCTGCCATGGAAAGTCGAACCTCATGTTCAGAAATTTCTTTTATAATTTCATCAGTCAGTTTTGAAGCTGCATCCACAAGTTCATCATCTGGTGAAACCTCTTCCTCTTTTAGTTCATTTTCAGTGTGAGCTGAAGGGAAGTTCTGCACTAGAAGCCTATAAATCATGTCTTCTAAAAGAGAATGAGGCAACACAGTCATATACGATGGCAAGGCATGGTTATCCTTTGTGATTATGTTAAGCACATTTTTGATTATTTTATCAGCTTGGGGGTAAGAATAAGAAGACAACGCTAATTCTCCTGAAACTAATGACTGCACCTGATAGTCATAAATTTCTTCTAATAGCAAATAATATATTTTCCTACCAAAGCAGATTGTGTCACTTTGTATAACCCTATATATTTGACTCAGAGATTTATATTGATCTAATATTTTTCCATATACTGAGATGACTATTTTTTGGACCATTTCTTTATATCTTTCTGAGAAACGTAAATTTTCATCAAAGTTATCTGCAACTGAAATCTCTGATTTGGTGAACTCCAGAACAATTGAATTTACCAATGTTGTAACAATGCTGGTAAGTTCAGGTTTCACTCTGTCTGGATTTTCAGTAACCAACATATTATGTGAAAATGCATAAAGAATTTTGCATAAAAGTTCAGAAATTACTTCCTCCAAAAAGACAGATGAGTTCACAATAAAAGATAATTCTCTTTGTTTAGGATCTATTGCTTTCGATTTATAAGTTTGATCAACTGCAGCCAAAAGGAGAGTTTTATCTTCAGATAAAAATGATTGAATATGACGATTAAAGACTTCTTTTATTATAAAACTTGCTATTTTTGAAACAGGTATGTCACTTATGCTCTTTTTGTCTTTTGTAATGGACTGATATATATTTGAATGCGAAAGATCAGCATAAATGGAATCAACCATCGCCTGAGTATCTTCTGCTGAAATCATACTCTGTCTTTTATTCCCATATTTAATAATACATATTTCATGTTTTGAAATTATTGACATAATTTCACTTATCAGTTTTATCACTGTGTTACTTAAGTCTGATTTAGTAGTATCTGACTGTTCTGCACTGTTGTCCAATGGACTCATCTGAGATATAAGCTGAGTGATGATTTTTTCCAAATGACTATGTGATAACATAGTGGTATAGATTGTTGAAGCTTGTCTTTGGAATCTTGATTTCCTTATATCATCTTGAACTCTCTTTATTAAAACATTTGTGCTGAGTTTGGAATGTGACTTAAAAGGCAGACTTGCTATAAGATCTGGATGAATTTGGAAATCAAAAATTTCAGCCAGGATGATATTAGTTATTCTGGTAGCCAATGTCTTTGTGTCATTTAGAAAATCTTTATTGGGCAATACTTCCATTTCATATTCTTGCAAAACTTTGCTGTACACCATATCAGCAATTGTTTTGACTGCATCCCCTTTCACTGGAGGTAAACACAATCTTTCCTCAGTATTATCTATAATGCTAACTTGGGCTTTTGCAAATTCCCCTGTTATCAAATGTATGAGTTCTTCAGCTTTCTTAAACAGTTCATCTTCTGAATCTCCTACAGATTTTGTTTGTACAATGCCTACTACCCGGTGGAATATTTTTCTTAAAACTCCAGAGATTACATCTTCCAAAAATGTTGAAGAGTAAACACTGGTATAAAATAACTGCCTTCTCTCATTATCAAAATATGTGTCTGATGAAGGTAATGATTTTCCATTCACAAATGGCTGAAGATGTTTTTGACATATATGTTTAATGATGAAGCCTGCTATTATTTCAATAAGAACATCATTACTGCTTGTGATATTTTGCGCAGCTGATTCTTGAGACCCAGAAGTTTGCACAATATTTTCAAATACTGAGTCAACAAGGTGCTGAATATCATCTTCTGAATAAATAAATTTGGTTTCTTCTTCCTCTTTTGAAAATTGAATTTTATGTTGAGAAATTTTCATCCTAATATCACTAATTAGGTTTGAAGCAATTTCATTGAAATTTGATCTTGATAAATCTTTTTGGGTTTCTCTGTTGAGAGCCAGGCTAGATGCAGAAGAAAATAATTTAGATAATAGTACTCTGATCATATCTTCTAAAACTGTGTATGGCAGCAAGGTGTTATATAGAGGTAAACTCTGGCTTGGCTCAGTAGATTTACTGATGTTACTAAGGATGTCCTGAACAATATTCTCAGCCACTGAATTAGAATTGGTAGAAGCTGACAAATTCCCAGAAAACAGTGGATGAAGAAGGTAGTCTGAAATAGCTGCTACAATTAGATTGGTAATATTTTCCACAAAAATGCCACTATCTTCAGACTCTTTATCAATAGCAAGGTCTAGCCCATGCTGCTTTAAAGTCTTTCTATAAACCGAGGTGACAAGTTCATCCACAAGATCTGTATCAAAAGAGGAGAAGGACTGTTCTTTGTCATCACAAAGAGTGTGAATTTTAGTTTTATCAAAATGGCTTTTTACAGAGTTTACTATTCTTTGAGTCATGTTTTTCAACTCAATTTTGGTGTTATGCTTTGGGGTGAAAATCTTTGACAAAAGTCTGGCAACAATCTCCCTTACAAATGAATCAGGGGGAATACCTAAAGTTGATTGCTTCTGAGGTCTGTGTAACTCTATCGCTTCACTCAGAACCTGTTTAACCATAGTAGATACTGGATCCAGTGGATTCTTTGATTGACATAAAACCTCTCCACTCAAAAATGGCTGAAGATGATTTTCAATAATCTCTTGGATGATAAAACTGGCTATTTGGTCAACCATAATTGGGCTTCGGCTTACTACACTTTTTTGTATAGAAGCAACAGAGTCAGACATTTGCAAAATATTATCATAAATAGAATCCACCATCTTCTGTAGGTTTCTTCCAGTATATAGATATTTATTATCATATACAGTCAACCAGATTTTATGTTTTGAAATGGCTGACATAACCTTATTTACTATACAAGTGGACATTTCATTAAAATCTGAACTCATTAAATATTTTTTTCCTAAAGAGGAACATGTAATGGGTGGAGGAATGAGTTGAGATAAAAGCCTTCTGATGACATCTTCTAAAAATGAATGTGATAACATGGTACTATAGTCAGATGAAGACCTGGGTAGGGAAGTAAATTCTCTCAGGTTATTTTGAAGCTTTTGCAATATAATTTCAGGTCTGAGAGGGTAACATGAATGGGGTATGAGATATTCCCTGAGGAAAGATGGCAGTTTGTAGTCTAAAACCTCTAACAATATGCCATTTGTTATTTGTTCTGCTATTGAGGTATTGTCATATACCAGATCATTACGGCAGGCTACTTTTAATTCATACTGCTGTAAAACATCATAATAAACTGAGGCGACAATTTTGCTAACAGTTTCTGTATGAACTGGTGGAAAACACAGTCTTTCTTCAGCATTCCGTAGAACAGTGACTTGAGCATTATTAAATTCATTCACTACATTGTTGACAAATAATGTATTCATCTCATTGAGCCAGGACACAGTGATGTTTTTATTTTTGTCCCACAATGAGGTAGAGAGATTAAAAAACAATTCTGAAATTATTCCTTCCAAAAATGTGGCTGAATAAACACCAGCATATATACCTTCCTGATGTAGCTTAATAGGAATGTCTACCTTATCCATTTCTTTTGTTCTCTGTCTTTCAAGTGATGACACAGAAGAGGATTTCACTGCACAATGCTTGTCAAATGGTGCTTGCATTTTGGAGCTAACCACGTTGGGATTATTCAGGGATACTGTCAAAGAATTATTGTCATAACTCCTGAGTCCTAAAGAGCATTTACTTTGTCTTAATTCTGTTAATTCTGGCTTTCTTGCTTTTGTGAGACTTGACTGTATTTCTCTTGTTCTGTAGTTCAAATGCTCATTTGCAAAAGGTAGACTTTCGGGAGCTTGTTGTATACCGTGAGATAATTTGTTCATCAATGATTTAACCAAGCTGTGGGAAATAATAGTAAGCATAGAGTCTGATGACAATAAGTCTTGATCAATTTCTGCCACATTTTCCAAAAGGTCTGACATGTAATCTCCTTGAAGGCATTCACAGTTCATTCCTCTCTTACAATAATCGGATTTTCCGTCTTCTACACTTTGAAGCATGTTTAAAAGCTGACATTCTTCTGCTGATGTTTCCTCTGAAACAGATCCATTATCAAGAAAGACATTGCTTGTACATTCTTCCAAAAGTATTCTGATAAGTTTCTCACATACAACACTGAGAAGAAAAACTGATTTTGAGGAGAGCTGTGAGTTATTTCTAAATATGCTATTAGGTTGTTCATTATTTGAGGAGGAGACAAATGTTCTTCGTATTTTACCAGAATCCGTACCCCTATCTGGGCATTCATCTGGTGAAAATAAATCTGAAACAATATTAAAAACTTTATTGACGACTTCTTTGGATTCACTTGTTTTTAGGTTACCAACCAGGCTGTTTAACTTACATGAAAGGTAATTTAATTTATTTTTTTGAAAAAGTTGATCAATTTGTTTCATCGATAACTGCCAGTCTCTGGGGCCTGCCTGTCTGTTGATTTTGTTGCAAATGAATACACTATTATTTCTATACATAGAAAATGATTTGTTTCTTCCATTGTTTTCAAGGTGATAATCTATTTCTATTTCTTTGGACAGTACATGAATCACTCCTAATAAGAGATCCTGAAAGAGGTCATCAAAGCCACCAGAAGCTATTGCTGGACAGTAAATGTATTTTGTTGGTATGGAAACCATTTTCTGTGCAATGTCAGCATGTATAATTTTATTATTAAAAAGGATTTTAATAATGATTTCAGAAATACATAAAGCAAGTTCTCCAATGGAAACTGACTTGCTTGCAAACACTTGAGAATGAATCGAAATAATCTTGATAAATGCTGCTTCTTGAATTTCCCATACTTTCTCTTTTTCTCTACCCTTCCTGGTGCCATTAGAAATGCTTGAAGTTAAATGATAAAGTACTGACTCAGTGAGATATTCACAACATTGATAAATTGAGGAATCATTATATATGTTTCCTAGGGGCTGTTTTGATTCATACTTTTTCCTTGACCATATAGAAGCCGTAGACATCTCCTCCTCACTAAAAACTTAAAAAAGAAAACGTTATAATTTTAGCATGCACTAAAGAAAATACAGAAAATTCAATATATTGGTAATTATTTACATATATATTTCACCCTTTGAGCAACTCACTAAAGAAAAATCTAGACAAAAAGAAACTGGATTTTCCTTAATATTTATCACCCCATAGAATCTTAATTTTAGCCACTAAGTTGAGAAAATAGCACCCCAAAATTCAAACCACTAAGTCAAATGCTGATGTCTGTCTTGACTGGATGGTTACGAACTCTAAGAGGCTGAAAAGCTTGGGGCAGAGAAATAATTTCCTGGTTTAGTGATGCATCCTACCATGTCTCCAGTGATATCCAGAGGCTCCATATAATTATTTTGAAATATTTTTAGACAAAACATTTAATGTTTTGCTATGTTTTACTTTTAGGATATTAAGGAGTTGTGTTGCAATCTCAAATTGACTAAAATAAAAGTGTGGCAACTCCAGGAAAGCTAGGAATAGATTGCACTAGCAGTAGTACTTTAGCCTCTAGATTACAGTTTGTCACAAAGAAGGAAGGTTGGCCAGCCAAGCAAAGAACTCTGTATTTGTTCTAGCCAAAACTGTATTTGTTACAAATCATTACCTACTTGGAATGGCCAACTTCTGGGTGTGGCAGCTATGAGCAACACAGTTTTTTTTTTTTCCCCTCAGAACCTAATTATGTTATATATCTTCATACGGTATCAGGCAAGGCTGTATACAGATAGAAGCCTGTAAGCTGAGCTTTGACTGCTACACAGGATTTGGCCATGTCAAGGTAAAGGGAGTGAGGAAATGATATTCCAAGTGAAAGAAAACATCAGTGAAGTCACTGGAAGACCATGGAGATGTCTGAGAATAAGGAATAGAATTGACAGTCAAGCATCAATGTGATGAAATCATGACTCTTTAGTTTTCTAAAATCGATTAGGTCCTGCCTGGAATACGTCTATTCAAGAGTTTATAGTTGTAGCCTCATTACCATCCACCTTGGGAGAATACTGGTTTTAAGGATGGGAAATAACCTCCATGTGCAGGTGGGTAGGATTGCTAATATCTCCAATGAGAATGATGTGCGAGTGATGTATCTGGACTGTTGTAATAGCAACTAATTATTGGTAACTGAAACTACTGACCCAGTTCTGGGATGTTATAGTATTATTAAACTGAATTTTATTAAATGTCAATAATCAACAGTTTTTGATATACAAAGTGAGTATTATGTATTGTTTAACCTAAGGTATACACATAAGCATTCTTAGAAAGATAATGCAAATATAATCCCTCTTATGATACAGTTGGAATATTATACCTGAAAGGAATTTAAGTTGGAATACTGGAATGCAAACAAAACAAGATATTTAATTCTACTATTCTTTTAAACTATGAATAACAGTAACAAAGCCTTCAATAATACCCCTTGAAAAGAAATGAAATAACTTTCAGTCAGTTAACTGTACATGCCATATGATTACAAAGAAGTTATGTGTAAGAATTTTTAATAACCCTTCCAAAGTTTTACCTCATGCTCAGCCAAAATCTCCTGCCTTAAAATTGTCTCATTTTCTCTCATTTGCAGATAGAGAAAACTGAGCAACACATCCTTCAAATTCAAACCCTGCAAAAATTTAATTATTCATTTATTTGCATTGCGATAGATTAAAAAGCACTTGAGGCCAAGCATCGTAGCTCATGCCTGTAATCCCAACACTTTGAGGGGCTGGGAAAGAAGGATCACTTGAGGCCAGGAGTTTGAGAGCAGTCTGTGCAGTATAGCAGTACCCTGTCTCTACAAAAATATTTTTAAAACTTAAGAGTTCAGTGGCATGCTCTGTGGCCCCAGCTATTTTAGGGGAAGACTGAGATGATAGGATCTCTTCAGTCCAGAAGTTCAAGGCCACAGGGGGCAATGATCATGCCACTGTACTCTAGCCTCAGTGACAGAGACACTATTTCTAAATAAAATAAAATAACACTTAAAATAAAATGCAACTCAGTAGCCATCTGTCTCCAAGACTATTTTCATAAAAATGGTGAATACAGCTTTTTAGACAGGAGATCTTTTAAACATATCTTTTATTAGTTTTCTTTCTAAATCATGACAACTTTTAGTTTAAGTTCTTTTTTGCTTACCTCTAGTTTCAAAGTTCTTCAAATATGTGATCACAGATGTGGTGACATGTCTTGCTATCAGATGAACTTCATTGGGACCCAGTTCATGATCTGCAAAAGTAAAAGCTTCAGCTTCTTTCAGAGTCTCTATGTTTGGGTAACTCTTTTTCTTCAGTTTTTGCAGGAAAGAAGAATCTTCTCTGCTGGCTTCAAGGTTTTTGTTTTCTTCTTCAGATATATAGCTGATTATTTTATCCTGCATTCCAAGAACACTTTTTTCCTTATTCTTTTGTCCTCCAGGTACTTCAAATAAACAGCTTTGTTTTGATATGAAAAATGGCTTCATTATTTCCATATTCTCATTAGTATGTGGTTGACTTGAAAAGCCACAGCTGGATAGCACAGTACTGACAATATTTTCTGCAGCTAAACATATTTTGAGTGGAGAAACGGTTGTCTGAATTTGATTTGGTTCAACAACTGGTTTTAGGGTATCACAATAAAATGCTCTTAGATTTTCACCTTTTCCCATTTCTATGAATGAAAAGACTGGCTTTAACGATGCTTCTGTGGAGCTGCTTGCTTTCCTAAACAGCTTTTGTGAGATACTGCCTTCAGGGAGGGAGTGATTTTCTTTCATGATCTCATCAAAACGACCAAAGTTAGATTTCCTTGGGCTATGGTCTTGTACTTTGTTTCTACAACACGATGGCATAGTTTCTGAATCAGGCCTTTTCATTGGCTCTGAGTTTTTAAATGTGTCTTCTACAGAGGGTCTGACAGAGGTGGGTAGATTTGATAAAACCCTGTACTTTTCTTTCATATCTTCATCTGAACAAAACGTAAAGTCAGTTACACTCACTTGTGAAGGATTAATCCCCAAATTACCTTCCTTTAACTTTGAGGTGAATGTTTTCATATTAGTTGCTAATTCAAGCTGATTAACAACGTAGGCATTTTCAGCTCCATGGAATAAACTTTCCTTTGAAGGGTTTTGTTTCAAAGACTCATTGAAATAAATACACTGGTGTATTAGTGTGCCAATGATCTCACTTGCTACAATGTTCTCTTTCAATATGCTAATTGAAGATGGTTCCATTTGGCTTATTTCATTGTCTAGCTTGTTCTTAATTACAGTAAGCATGTCACTGATGATATTAACAGCATATGTCTGTAATTGTGAATGGAATGAATGAACCCGTAGAAGGATATCCTGTATGTTTTCCTTAAAAAAAATCGTATTTGACTTGGATTCATCAGGAAACACTTTAAGTGGTTGTAATTTTGGCAACATTTCTTTGTTAAATAGTTTCTGTTGGGTAGAAAGAAGATTTTCTATAGGCATTTTCACAATTTCAGAAAACTCATATTTGGAGATAGGTTTAAACTGCAGGTCCACAAATGACTCTAACATGTTTAAAACCCTTTCTACAATCTCTTGAACAATGTGGTTGCTAGAGCCCACAGAAATTTGGTCTTTTGTCTTTGTGTTATAGATTAGTAAACTGCTGAGGCTATGCTTGTTTGGAAAACCATATTTACTTTTAGCAGTAACGTATTCTTTACTGTTTGCTAGAGTCTCTTTACTATCTGGAGTGGGAATTTGGGACAGAAAGCATAGCTGTAATTTTTCAAATAGCATTTCAACAATTTCTCTTCCAAACATATTAATTTGTGCTTTGCTATCCTCAGCTCTAGTAGAAGCTCCTTTAAGATTATTATAAAGCCTGCTTTCACAATTCTCAAGAGGTGGCAAATTTAAAAGTGAAAGAGAGTATACTAATTCTTTTGCTTTTATTGAAATTTCAGTCAAAACATTTTCAGCTATCATCAGTAGCTTACATTTTTCATTTTCCTTGTCATTTGATTCTGTTTGCCACTTGTCAAACAATTTTTTAAATATACCTTCTCTAGGAAAAATGTGTTCTAGCTGTGAAGAAATATTCTCCAAGTAAAAACATGCTTGTTTAGCATGAGATCCTGTGCTTATATTCCCCTGTGAAAGTTTGAGATGTGAGGATTTGATTGGATAAGCCAAATTGCAGTTATTTGTAACATATAATTCTTGCAAAACTGTATTAACTATTTTACCTGCTGCTATGATTTGATCACATGGTAAGGCTTTGGTTTGCTTTACCTTTTCAAATTCCTTCACAATTGTTTCCAGGATATTAATTATCATATCTTTGGCATATATTTTTAGTTCTGAAGTGGGCAATTTTGTGTCCAGTAAGTTTTTGGCATCTCCAGTTGACATGATGTGTGACAACCCAATGGCAGTTTTGGATTGGCTGTCTTTTGGGGTCTTCTCTCTAGGACCTAACTTGGTTTTGCTTTTGGCCTTAGTAGCACTCAGTCCTAAGTGTGGTTTTTTTGTAAATTTAGGCAAAGTGGTAAGTTTTGATCTTGCTCTTAAATTTGCTTTAAAGCATGGCTTAGGGCTGTCCTTAGGGTTGACCTTAAAAGTGTGTGGCCTTAAAAGTTGCAACTTATCAGCACAATGTTCAGGGGACAAACTCTCTTCTAGATGAAGTGAGACAAAATTTGTAATCTTATTGAGAACCATTTGAATTAAGTCTTTCTTCACTTGCAATGGTAAATATGGCAAAACTGTGCTTTCCATTACAGAGATATTTTGATTGTCTGCATAAGAATAAGCCTGTGGTATCACATATTTAGGGGAATTATTTATTTTTCCTACTTGTTTAGTTTCTCTAAACCTTAATGATTTCATTGGTAAGGAATCATTGCAGTCAGATGTTTCAACTTCTCTCCTACTTTTATTATTTTCATATAATGATGTCACAACTACCAAGTACATTTTCCCCAAAACACTTTCAACTATGTCATTTGCTACACTGTTAATATGTGATTGAAAACTGTTTTTCTGTGTTGTGTCTGGTGTTTTAGTTTTAGAATTAGATATAAAGTTGGAAGTTTCATTAAATGGAGGCAAATGGCCTATGACTTCCCTTATTCTTTGATACAACTTATTTAACTGTTCTTCCACAGCACTGAGCAGTTTAACGTTTTCTTTGTGTTTTGATTCTCCATTTCTCATAAATATTTCTTCCAAAACAATTATCTGACTTTTGTTTTCCAATATCAGTTGGTCTTGTTCTAATGGATACTTTGTAAACAGAGATTGTTTGGTATTTATTTGCTTCTCTTTGTGCCCCAGCAATATTTCATTTGATAAAGTTAACTGTGAAAAGTTAGGATTCTCTTTTGAATTGAAACCAATTTCCTTTACAGTTCTTTTATCATCTAACATCTTTAACATACTGTCAACAATTGCACTCACAATGATGTTTTCTTGGAACAAAATATTGTTTGAATATGGATGTATCTTTTGAATTTCTAAGTCTAAATCACTTTTAATAAGCTTCAAAATGGCACTGGCAATGATGTCAGCATATGTCTTAAGGCTAGCTTGTGATAGGTGAATTGTGGATCCAAGTTTCTCTCTGTGACTGGCAAAAGTGAAATCCGTGAGCTCTTGGCTGAGAATGGTTTCAGTTGCTGGTATTTTCAGGACATTCACGTCTGATTCCACTTGGCTTGAATCATAAAAGATGCTGCCATTTTGTTTACAATTTTCCAATTCTGGGATAACAAATGACTCTTCTTTATGTTGGAAAGCAAGGGTAATTAATGAATCAATTCTTTTTGTGGCAAAAGATTCTAAACGATTAAAAATAGTTTTAGTAATGAAGTTAGCATTTTCTTCACATGAATCAGCAGCAAATTTCTGGATGCATTCTTTCTCTACTACAGTTAAATGATTATCATCAGCATAAGCTGATTTCTGATTTCTTGAATACGAAAAACACTCTGTTTTTCTTTCAGTTTTTGATCCCCTAAGAGGCTGTTGACAGTCTATTTTTGGAAACATATCAGAAAAGGTCAGGGACAATGTTGCAGAAGTAGGATTCTTTGCATTTATGATAAGCATGACAGCAGAACTGAGATTATGAAGAACAATATTCACTATATCATTGGATATCAAAATGACATCTGATTTAGGAACTGAAAGCTTAGGAATAAACTGATTTGCACCCTCCATGAACATTTCAGAACTTTCTTTTGAATGTTTATCAGCTATGCTACATTTCAGAGTGGGTGTGGCAAATGACAGATTATTCTGATACAGGGTTTTCTCGTAAATATCACATAAGATACCTTCAATTGTGTCTTGTATTTGAAACTGAAGTACTTTTTGATATTCGGTTTTATTGAGCAGCTTTTCAATAACACCTTTTTGCTGATCCAAATCAATCTCTTTATCAGAACTGTTTTTGTTACACTTGCCTTTACATGATATAATGTCTAACACTGTGTTAACAATTTGACTTGCAATACTTTTAGAAATCCCAATGTCATGAGTTAAGAAATCATTTTCCTTTTCTTTATCTAATTCATGTTTAATTTCTTGTAAATTTTTTCTAGCCACTTGTTGTGCATAAGTATTTAATTTAGACAAAGACAGTTGGCACAAGTTGGTGTCTCCTGACTTAGCATGATCTACTGAGGAATAGGAAAATTGCTCATCAGAATATGGATCTTTGGCTGATAATGCTTTGCTCAATGTACTCTGATTTTGTTGAATAGGTAAGGCCAATGGAACTGTAAAGTTGACTTGGGAACAAAAGAGAGATTTTACTTTGGAAGTAGCAAACGTTTCCAAATTTGTTAATATTGCCTGTACAATATCTTCAACTACATTTACCTTTGCCTCTTTGTCAGCAACACTGAATCTAGACTGAAAAGTACATGGATTTTTATCCAAGACAGTGACAGAGGACTTTCCTTCATAGGTGTGTTCATGAAAAGAAACATTTGCTGAAAAAGTGATAGTTTTATACCTATTTTTTCTTACATTAATTTCTGTCATGGCAGCTGAATAAAGTTTGTGAAATACAGTTTTAACAATATTTTCTGTTACCATGGTTATATCTGCTTCAGAAATTAAAGGATCCATCATTTTATCCACACACTGAACAGGTGTTTGGGCAATTGGCTCATCAACATTGTTAGGCATGCCATTAAAATGAGAGTGGGAGAGAGAAAGCACATTTAATTGATTGATTAAAGTACTTTGAAAGATTTCATTCAAAATATTTCTTATAATGGGAGCAATTGGAGATATATTTGGTTCTTTGAGTTTTACTTCAATTTTGTTTAAGGTTTTTTCTAGAGCCCATTGTTTAAGAGAATGTGTTTTCATTTCTTCTCTTTGTAGTGATCTATCATCAATAATTTTTTTCTCTGTATATGCATCATCTTCTAGAAATGAATCTGATTCAGCTCCTCCAGGAAGACTTCCATATGTTGGCCTATATCGATAAGTTTCAATGCCTCCATCTTCAGATTCAGTTTCATTAAACATATCTGAAGATACTGCATCTAAAATTAATTTGACTATATCTGTAATAATCTGAGTCTCAGGTGGTGGGGTTTTTACACTTGTCTTCAAGTCTGATGAGGTCACATTTAATTCTGTTTGAATAGCCTTCAAGATAGCACTTGATACCTTCTTTGCCGGCATGTATAGAGCAGACAGAAATGATTCTTCACGTGTGTCTCTGGAAATATTGGTGCTTTCACATTCCCAGCCCATCTTACTGCTTTTCTTATTTTCATCATTAGTAGCATCCAGAATTTCTAAATATCCATTGGCAAACCCTTTCAGTTTAGCAAAAACCATATTAAGAATGTCTGAAGCTACAGTTTTCAGTTTATTTGGATGCATTTCTTTTGTGCTCTCTGCTTTGGAAGACACAGGAGCAACAGGTTTTGCTTTGCTTTGAGTCCCCTCTTTATTGCCCTCCTGAACCATTCTGGAAACTATGTTGGAGATTATTTTGGTGGATTTGGCCATTTTCTCAATAATTGAAGCAAATGATGGGTTGTCAATGTCAAGACACTCTGAGATGGCTTTTAATCCACAACTTGCAAAACTGGTATCCATGTCAACACCAGATAATTTTTCAAGGATATAATCAAAAATTGCTTTGGAAACTAACTGAATATTAGACTGCAATGCAGCAGCCATTTTCTGATTCTTATTGGTAGTCTCTTGACTTCCCAAGAGCTTGCTTAACATTTCATGTAGTGTTTCCCCAATTCTATCTAACACTTCCAATTCTGCATTATTTTGAATATCTTTTTCATCATTGACACTGTGGAGAGCACAAGGGGTAGCCATATATTTGTGAAAAGATTTTTTATCCTGCCTATTTGGCAAAATGCTTTGTTCATCAACACTGTCATCTGCAGACTTTGGCATACATGAAGAAAGTGAAATGTTTCTTTCATCTGCATTTTTGCTGGATAACATATCATAAATACATGTTAATAATGGACTTGCCAAAATGTCATCATCAATACTCGTGACTAATTTTTTATTAGTGTTAGCTGTAAGGGATTTGGTATGGTCCATCTCCATAAGATTTAGGTTTTTCTTACGGAGTTCCAGTTCATTCTGGACAGCACATAAAACAATGTTCACTATTTTAGCTGTGTACTTACTAAGTTGAGATCGTAGTGAAGATTTGAAGCCCATATGCAATTTTGGACATATAAATGACTTCAGTCTTTTAAAAATTGTATGAATGATCTTATCATTAATGTCATCTACAGGTTTAAGTTCACTTTCTCCAGATTTTAACCAGGAAGGCTTTTCAGAATCAATATTGAATGAAGATAAAGATTGCATTTTCTTTTCACTGTCGAACCATGTTTTTAATGAACATTTATTTGGTGCTTCTTTGACTCTGTCTGCAGTGTCAGAACTATCTAAGGAAGTCTGATGAACTGAGGATGAAATGCAACTTTTAGTGGTATTGGAAATGTAGTTTTGTGCCTGATGAAGTATGTTTAACACAGAATCTGTTATTTCTTGAGCCACTGTATTGATTTCTGAAACAGAAAACAGCTGGTCTATCCATTCTTGATGTGATAGTCCTTGAGGCTTTTGTGAAACAAGAACTGAAGTTTCATTGCCAGTTTTGCTGTCTAAGTGACCAGGAGGAACAGATGATATGTCCTTGAGCATTTCTTTTAAAACACTTGTGACTATGTTTTCTGAAGCCTTTTGTATTTGATGCTTTTGGTCTTCGCTGAAGGTTGATATAACTTTATTCAAACAAAGTTTTTTCTTTAAAGTATCTTTATGATTAAGAGATGGTGTCTTTAATTCCCAATCAGGAAATGCAACTTGACTTTTAGAAACAGGCTTTGTAGGTGGTTTGATATTTCTTTTGTACTCAAAACAAGTGTTTCCCTTCGTAAACGAATCATTAGGAATCTGTTCTTGTGATTTTACTTTTTCATCTTTGAAAGTTGAATCAAGCACATTTTTTACAATATTGTCTGCCTCCTCATCTTCAGAATAAAGAACCATGCCTGGAACATTTATAGGTAGAAATGGTCTTCTAGACCTAGGACTATTAGATAATCTAGTGCCAGCGAGTCTGTACTTTTCTTTGGTGTCAGAAGGACTACTTATTCTAGGTTGTCTACTTTTTTGAAAATTTTCCTTTGCTGGTTCCTGATGGAGCTGAACAAGGATATCATCAAGTAGCTGAAGGAGTACTACTGTTTCTTCAGATGCAATAATTCTCTCATTAATTAGTTCAGTTTGTATATAACCTAGTATAGCACTAATTGCTTCCTCTATATAACCAACCAAGGAGGATTGGGAAAAAATATTTGATAGTAAATTTTGTATTTCTTCATTGACAATTAAACTAGCTGTGTCAGATTCAAGACTAGATTTATTTTTGCTAGCTCTCTGAAGTAACATACATACTGGGTCTGTCTTATGTTGCTGGCAGGAAAGCTTAGTTGAATCTTTAAGATGAAGAAATTCATTTTGCTTAGAAGAAGTAAGAGACATCAGCTTTTCTAAAATGGCATGCACCATGTCCTCTGCAATATCATACATTGGGTCCAAAGTACGAGGCATTGAATCCATTAAAGGTTTTTTATTTGATGATGGGAGATGTTCATCACTGGCTGTTAACCTTGGTTTAATGCTGGCTGGTACATCTTCTTGTGAAAACATCTCAACACATTTTTTCTCCACTGCAGACTCTAACTTCTCAAGCATATTTTCCACAATCTCAGAAGCAAGTGAGCAAATATCAACATTGGAGGGCAAGTCTTCTTTTTCATGTTCACTTTGTTCAACAAAAACTTCAGCAGTAACAGAAGAGAGAGAGGGAATGGCCTGGGTTAAATCAGACATTATTTCATGAAAAATGCTTTCTAAAATCACTTTAGTTGTCCCTTTCAAGTGACATTTAAAGTTAACAAAAACATTTTTTAAATTCTTCATTTCATCTATGGCTTTTAGTTTTTTATCACAAATCAATGAACTCCCTAGACTATCCGTTTCAGTAGTAGCATCCTTAGACTTTGTTGTGCTTGTTTCAAATGATGCTAAAAGATGACTATCTGATTTACAACTTCTGAGCTTAGGGTATGAACATAGCATGTTGGTTTTATTATATTTAAGTGTAGAGGTTATAGATTGTCCTCTTGCATGACAGGTTTTCCCCACAACAGTTCTTCCCTTATGTGCAGGAGAAAGTTTTATCGGTGTGGTTGGTCTCCTTACTGACAGGTCAACTGCAAATGCACAGGGTTCTGCCTGAAATGTTTTAGTTGTTGAAGACGTGTAGGTTTTATATGTAAAGTCTTCACTGCATGTGCTACAGAAACTTGAACTATCTGAAGAGAGGATGGAGTTATCAGACGCTGGGTATGTATTATTTCTCAATCTTTCTTCATACTTTGTGATGGCTGGATACAATATACTAGTCACTGTAGCTACAACCCAGGTCATTATATTCTGAATTATAATATTCAGTTCTTCAGAAGTTACCTAGAAATGAAGTAAGCAGGGATGAAAACAAAGTCATGTAACAACTTACTCTATGTTTTGGAGACAGCAGGTAACATTGAATTTTTATATCAATCAATGTATAGATGGAATACCAATATGGTTTATGAAAGAAAATAGTAAAAAAAAACAGACTAGAAATTTAGAATTTCAGATGAATTTATAGTTTGTTTATTCTGCACTACACTGAAGTATTTTTTTGTGAGTGTTTAAGATTTATTTTATTCAGTCTCTCAAAAGTTTCTTTTTCCCTTGACATTTATTATCAGGATAAATGATTTTTTGTTTAAAAAAATTGTTGTATAGGCACACAGCATGCAAATATTTTGGAAAGAAAATATATAATTTTTATGATCTAGCTAAATTAAGATCATTAAATATTTGTAATAAAATATTTCTCAAAACAGATGCAGCCAAAATATTTGGTTGCTTTCAGAAGAATCTGTCTAACTGAGATATGGGGAAGGAACACAAATAATTCTCTCTTCCAGTCCCTGCTGAAAGGGTGAGACTGCAGTCTCTCTCTCTCTCTCTCTCTCTCTCTCTCTCTCTCTCTCTATATATATATATATATATATATATATATAATATATATATATAATATATATACACACACATATGACAAAAGTTAATTATTAAGAATTATTTGATACACAAAAATAAAAGCTCAGGCTTTATATAGATTGACGGGCTTTTTACCCAACAAACAAGTGTCAATACAAATTGCCTTAGATAGTAAAGCTGAGAACAGATAATAAAGTAAGGTAACACATTAATTTAGATAGAACATAAAAGCGAAGCTAGATTTGGGAATCAAAGAGTAGGGAGGGCTGAGCAAGATTAAGAAAGTTAGACTATTACTGAGCTGGAACTAAGAATCAGATTTGAATAACCATTTCCTTAGTGATCAATGGTGCTGTCATAGATTTGTACTGGACTATGGATAGAAACAAATGCATCTGTAGAGTTCTATAAACCTCTACTTACCAACTGCAAATGTATTTTGGGCTTACAAAACTCACCTTACTTATAATAAAGTAGTACTCTGTTTTTAAATTGTTAAAACTCTTAAAGCATACAGGCTGTAAACACAAGTAATTGGCAGCAAGGCATAGAAAGCTGATATGTAGGTCTTCGTATAAATAAGATTCCTGTAACTAGGCTGTTCACACCCCAAATATTGCCTAAATTAGTCTGAAATTATTCATATTTCAGAGAAATATTCATAGAAAAGTTAACATGTATATGCCACACTCCCTCATGGCTCATTTCAAAGCATTTGAGGAGCACCTGAGGAAAGGCCATTTTATTCAGCTGTAATCCCCAAATATACCCCCAATATTTTTAACTTATTGTATAAGCAATGAGTTAGTGTTTATGACACATATTTTGAGATGACAGTCTGTTATAAAATACTTGTCTTAAATAAATACACTCTAAATCAAATATTTAAGAATAAAACCTAAATGTTTACAGAGAAGATAGTTATTCTAAATCAACTACGACACATATAAATTATAAACTAAGACATTCAATATATGTTATTTTTCTTATTACTGAGAGATGATAAACAATAACCTACATTATTACTCTTAGGCTAGTTGTGGCAAAGTGATTCCAACCTCAATATATAAAAGAGGCATCTATTTTTAAAGTTTTCTTTGTAGTGAAATATGATAGATGAAATCCTAGTTTTCACTTTCTTTCTATTACAATATTCAACTGAAAAATATTCCCTTGGGTCAAAGCTTTCCTATTTGCTGCATATTCTATGAATTGAGGAAGTGTCCATGTTAAATAGTGTGCCAGAATATGTTTTGTTCCCTAAATGCTTTCTCTTTCCTGAGTGTTCAGTCTAGATCCAAATTAGGTCTCATAAAAATATACAACCTTATTTTTGCCTGTTCCTAAGTCTCAGGTCATAGGTGATGAGGTCCCTTTTCACAAAACTGCTAAAGACAGATCCAAGCATCTCAACTCATCTACTGCTGAGTTCACTAACAAGATCTGCAAGAGCATATCGATATAGCTTCCCATGATAGATAGGCTTGTGGTATTTGATTCTCTTCCTGTGAAGGCTAGGTCCCTTAATATTTCACCATTCTATATCCATGAGACCTCATATGAAGGGCTAATATTATTTTTGATAACAACTTTGGACCACAGAAAAGTATAAGAATTAACTGAAAAGGAACTTCAAAGAAGAAAAAAAGACAAAGAAAACCAACAAATATCAATGGATGACTCCTAGTTTTCTAGTTAACAAAATGTATTCTATTATGATGTATCAGAAAGTATGACTCATATGTTGCTTGATCAGTGGATTTTATGATACATACTTTTTCCTGTAAGCAGTTTTGCGGTAAGTTCTGTTGCCTGTAGAGAAACGTTGATCATTTGTTTATTATAGAGTCAACTGTTTATAAAACTTTTTTCTAAAATTTCTAATCATTGAATCATTTTGTTGTAGCTAAGAGTTTCTCTATAGAAATTCAAAATGAAGAATATACCATTTTTTCCAATCTTCCTATTTTACTTTCTCCTTAGATTGGCCTCTAGTTTTAGAAATGTACTTTATTATTCATGGGAACAGACTTACAGCTGCAGCATAAACAATGCACCTCTCAGATCTTTGTTCTTCTAACACACCTTAGCCATGCCCACTTTGGTTTCTCTGAAAAAGGATATAGGATTTGCAGGGAGGGCCAGATGAGTTCCTTCTGACTGTTAAAAGGTCTGATAGAGCAGCAAGACATCTGACCAGAACTTTCTGATAGTCATTTATTTACTCTTTCAAATGCCATAGTTCTATCATTCCCTCCCCATATTCCATAGTAGGAAGAAAGTAGTGAATGATTATTCAATAACTATGGGTTAAAATCATGGATTTCTAGCTCTATTTAATACCAATTTAGATGCACATTCCTTTACTATGTATGACAATATTCTATCATGTGTTATTACATTTACCATCACACACTAATGAAATTAAGTTTTCTGAATTGCAAAAAAGAATAGCTCAATCATAAAAATAATAGAAAATAAAATAAATATTTGTTAAAACAAGATCTAACACTGAAGTCTGATTTATTTTCATATATTTTTGCTGATTTGAACTGTTTCTGTTTTCTACTTTCTGAAGTACACTCCTTTTAGGCCTGTACTCCACATGACTAAATTTACATTTTCCCTGAGGTTTATAATTCAATTTTAAGAAACAGCCAGACTGAAAGCTACATCCTATATTTTGGCAGAAAAAAAACTTCCCTGGGTTCAGTTCATTAAATGGGTTCATGACAACAGTCTATCCTTAGACTAGTACCTTTTTGCAGTATGCAATTGGGAGTATGGAAGCTGATGTCACTGATATGTTCTCTATCACTTGCCCTCATTTGTTTTTCTAGGATCTGGTTTCTTAGGTCAACCCAAGTTTCCACAGGTTTTTCTCTTAGATATTCTGCAACCTAATGCATTCAGATTCATTTTTCTGTTTTCTTCATGTTACATCATTAGCATAAAACATAACTCAAGGAGTTCTATGTATTCATTGATACCAGTTCCCAGCAGACTTTCTGCTCCAAAAGCATGCAACACAGAACCAAAGTACAAAGGCCTACATGTATATTTAATCTGAAAACTGAAAAAACTTTATTGATGACTATTTGAAAACAATTTTATTAACCAGATAAAGCATTGCATCAGCAGAAATGGCAGAGTAAGTATCTCAGACATTCATTCCTCCAAAAAAATAATGAGTAAACTGGCAAAAGAAAAATGACCAGAATTATAGTTTCTGGAACTCTAGAAAATTAATCAAAGACTTATAGCATTCCAGAGAGCACTTATTTAGGAAAAACAGTGAGCCTAGGTAATAGCAACAGGTTTTGGTGTTTTGTCTTATTTTTTATCCCCTCTCTTCAGCTTCATAATATCCTTCAAAAACAATACCCTGAAATTGTAGAAACATAGTTTTATCTTGGTACCTGCCTAAGATCTGGCATTATAGTTTGAACATAGTAGGTTCTCAATAAATGTTTGATAAATAAATCCCTATTTAAAGTCTTTTGAATCTGTGCCTACTTCCCTCTAATGCCAAATGAAGCCTTTGTGCAGGCCACTAATGGACTTTGATAACTGGTTCTGAGTTTCTTTCTTTCAATCTTTCCTACATACCATTGTCAAAGTTACTCATTATGTATGCTAATTTGACTACCATACCTGCACTAAAAACCATTAGACTATTATCCAATAAATAAACTACAAGTTTTAACCACAGTCTTCAGGATAATAGATTTATTGCTTTATTCACTCTGTTACTCCTATACCTTCCCTGTAATACACACTTACTCATCAACTAAGTGCAATGCTGAATTATTGCAACTTTACTCCCACTGCTGTTATACTTGCTTTATTTTCATTCCTTGGTTCTGAATTTTCATCTCTATTTTATAAATCTTTTGTAACATTAACAACTGAACGGAAACAAGAAAACTAGGCAATAAGTGAGAGAAGAGAAAGAAATGATAGAATAGATGTGAGACTTCCACAGCAAACTCCTATAAAACTTGGAGTTAAACCTGAACAAGAGGAATGTGACATATGTGTCTTTGCTCTTTATTTGGATCTCTGTGTATGCTTTTGGAGAAGTGGTGAAGAAGCTCCAGGTAAGATAAAGAGATTTTTATTTTTCACCAAGCTAATATTTATAAGGAAAGAATATCGAAAATGCTTGCTATGAAATATTCAAGTGATTTTTGTAGTTCTACATGCTTGGGTTTGAGAAGATAAAAATGCACTTTTTACAACTATATTATGAGCTTCTTATGAGCTTTTCTTTAAAAAGGTATGTATTTATATTTCCAATAAATAAAAATGTATGTATCCCATAAATAAAATAAGTAATGTTATTTTACATGTGGTCTACATATGGTCACCAACTTTCATTGCTTTGAACTAGACAAGTCAGTTTCCTTCCTTCTGCATCTTTTACTGTGTTATGTATCATATGAATACTCAATAAGTCAAACAAACTGGTATTTATGTGTCTTAAGGTAAAAATTATTATTTCAAGAAGACTAGTCTGAACATGTCAATATCATTTGCCATCGCTCACAACTTACTCTACTCAATCATCTTCATGGGAATTTGGGGTTTGTAACATCTTTCCTAGACTTCATTTGTCTTGCTGATTTTTTTAAAAGATTGTGGCATGGGTGTAAAACAACTCATGCTATTACTTAGGCTCATGTTTTCCTCTCTTTTCTTGAGTTGAGAAAAACAGATATAAATATCAACAAAATTGGTGGTCACTAAGGTTTGAGGAATGAAAAGTCCCTGGGCTTAACAAATATCTCTTCTACATGCCATAATTTCTACTATTAGAGATTATTATATTGTATTAATCTGCAAAATATCCTTTAAGGTGGGGGATAACTGATTAAGTCATTAATACTACAAACTATATTACCAGTATTAGAAAGCCAATAGTCTCAAAAAGCATAAGGCATGGTAGCTATTTCAAAGAAAAGAAAGGCAAAGAAATAAATACAGATTATGAGAAATTACCTGAATAAAGCTATGATGCAGATACACTTGAAAGTGGCATGGAGACCTTGACTATAGGTAGATTATAGAACCATAGTGGAGATAGGGAGATAAAGAAAGGGAATGACAAAGATTCCTTTTGTCTACAGCTTAAGCTTAGTGCTGAAAGTCTGCAAAAGACTAAGTTTCACTAAATCCAAGTAGAACTACAAAAATTGAGGATTCCATGTAATCATTTGTTTATGAGCAGCACTCTTATGTAATTATTAAAATTTTTATGATTACATATAATTCCTTAGATACTTACATATTTGTGTTAACAGGAGAAGAAAATATACCCGGGTCTGTAGCCTGAGCCTGAGGTCCTATTTATTAGAAAAAGAAAATAATATAGTTTGTATCCATCATCAGCAACTTGCTAAATGTTAATCCTCTAGTACGTATTTATTTTCTATTGTTACTGCCTTGTTTGCAAGCTTTCAGAAATTCTCCACAGTGAAGTCCAAAGTCCTTAGCAAGAACCTGTACTATAAGATCTGATGTCCTTTAATACCTCTCTAGTGTCTTCTCTGACTAGTCTTTCATATTTATGCTATGGTCCAGAGACAGAATATATCGCAGTTCCCTAAATATATCATGTTTCTCATGACTTTCTGGCCTATGTTTTTGCAATTTCTTTTGTCTAGAATGCCCTGTGCTGTCTTTAAACTTCTCATCTTTTAGGTCTCATTCAGCTATGTCAACTCTTGAAAACCTTCCTTGAAAGCTACCTGAATAAATACCTTTCCAGTGCTCTCAAAGCACTCTAAACATGTTTATATTATAAAACTCATCATGCTATGCATTATGTTAATTATTGTGTACACCTGATTATTATATAAAATAAAATAATTGATGTGCGGTCAATTTTATTTTATTTTTTAAATTTTTTCATTATACTTTAAGTTCTGGGGTACATGTGCAGATTGTGCAGGTTTGTTACATAGGTATACATGTGCCATGTTGGTGGTTTGCTACATCCATTGCCCCGTCATCTACATTAGGTATTTCTCCTAATGCTATACCTCCCCAATTTTCCCATCCCTTGCTATTCCTCCCCTAGCCCCCAACTTCTGAAACCCTGGTGTGTGATGTTCCTTTTCCTGTGTCTATGTGTTCTCATTGTTCAACACCCACTTATCTGTGAGAACATGCAATGTTTGGTTTTCTGCTCTTGTGTCAGTTTGCTGAGAATGATGGTTTCTGGTTTCATCCACGTGCCTACATAGGACATGAACTCATCAATTTTAGAGAGAAATGAACTGAGATTAAGAGTGCACATATCTGAAAGTTAAATGTGGAGGTAAAACTATTTTTAATACAAAAAAAGCTCTTCTGTGATTTCCAGCAATATGCTAAACAAGTGTCTTTCATTTTGCCTAGAATTTAGTATAGAGTATTAAAGTCATACTGTTAAAAATAGCTAAACTTTCAAAGAGATAGTAGAACTTTCTGAAAGTAAAACAATTGTGAGAACACAAATCTATAGTGGTAAACAAATGCTGAAGCTGATACCTGCTCTAGGGACATTGGCCACATCTGGAAATGTAGTGTCTGGTCAGAGCATTTAAAACAAGACATTGGGCCCCCAAAAGATGGAGAATTAAAACTAAGAGCTCCTAAAAATATACAGATGCTTCTTGACTTAAAATGGGGTTGATATCACAATAAACGTTATCATAAGTTGAAAGTATGTTAAGCTGGAAATGCATTGAATACACCTAATCTGCTGAACATAACAGCTTAGGTTAGCCTCCTTCAAATTTGTTCCGAACACTTACATTAGCTTACAGTTGGACAAAATCAAATAACACAAAGCCTACTTTATAATAAAGTATTGAATATCTTATGTAATTTATTGAATGCTATACTGAAAGGGAAATAGAGAATGGTTGTATGGGTACTTAAAATACAGTGTCTATTGCGTGTTTATTGCTTTCACACATCCGCCTGTAATCCAAGCACTTTGGAGGCCAAGGCGGGCAGATCACCTGAGGTCAGGAGTTCAAGACCAGCCTGACCAACATGGTGAAACCCCGTCTTTTAAAAAAAAAAAAAAGAAAAAAAAGAAAAAAAAACCTAACATTGAAAAATCATAAGACTAACCACTGTAAGCCGGGGACCATCTGTATAGGATCCCAAAGAACTACATTGTCAATTAGTCATCTGCAAGAAAAAGAAAATCATACCACAGAGGAAGCAGACAAATTATGTCTTGGCTTGTGGCTATGGATGGAGAAGAAGGAGAGGTATTTCCTAAGAACTCATAATCACAGATAATGTTTTCTATACCCTTGAGTTTAAAATCCACAGAAACTGTATTGTCCTTCACACTGCATGTGAGAATTTAATTTAAAATGAAGCTGTGTTCACAGCTCTTACAGATAACTGGCAGAAGCATATGTAAAGTTCCTTTAGAGAATTACAGCCTATCCAAATATTATAGAATCCCCAACAATAAATTTCCGTAAAAACTGAGCTCACATATAACAATAATAACCTCCCACCCCCACAAAAATATTTAAAAAAACAAGAAACTATGGTTTTTAACAGAAACAAAAACAATATATTAAATTTAGAGCCCAAAGATTTCAAATAGTAAAATTACCAGATATAAAATATAAGAGAACTTTATATGTTTAAATATATAAAGAAGGAATTTGAAAGGATAAGAATGGAAAAATAGCTTATAAGAAGTCCAAATTTGAAAAAAACTATTTAGAAATTGTATTATATATATACAATATGCTGTAGTTCAATAAATTGTATAATTTATGAAATAATAAATTTTAAGTAGCTAAATAACAAGAGAAAACTGGTGAATTGGAGGACATATTTGAAGAAATTAACAGAAATGCATCAGAAAGAAATGGAAAATACAGTTGTTAAATGATATAAGATAAAAAGGTAGTCTAATACTCAGAAGAAGATAACAGAAATAAAGAGGAAATATAGAAAGAGAAAATGATTGAAACTTGTATGGAACTGCTCGTTATGATAACACTAAAGAAAACATCTTAAAAACAGCCTGATGTGGGGGATGGAAGAATCACTTACACAGGAATAATTACTTAGAATAAAAAGTAGAATTTAAAAAATTGTTTTTTCTTTTTCTGAGATGGAGTGTTGCTCTGTCACCCAGGCTGGAGTGCATATTCTTGGCTCACTGAAATCTCTGCCTCAGTCTAAATAAAACAGTATCTTTAAAGTGCTAAGAAAAGAATAACTGACCCCTAGCCTTATTTGTACACTTGGACATAATGATGTTCTAATACAAGGATAAAGAACATTTTCTCAAATAAAATCTGAGAATTTACTCCCAAAATACGTTCTCTAAAGATCTTTCTAAAGAATGCAGTACTTTAGGACAAATGGGAATGATCCCAAAAAGTACTAAATACAAGAAGGAATGAGCGGAGAACAAAATAAATTGGTAAACAAGAGGATAAATATAAATCAAATCTGTATAAAACAGTAATAAAAAAGTAATTTGGCTGACAAAAACTTTAAAATGTCAAAATATAAATTATTGAACAATAAGTATAATATGAAGTAGTGATTAGAAGTAGATTATCTTACTTTAGCTTTTATTTTAAATATACTTCAACATAACTTGAAGAGTAAATTTACAATGTTCAACACAAAGAAATAACAAATGTTTGAAAGATCTCCCAATTAACCAGACTTATTACTATACATTGTATGTTTATATCAAAATACATATGTTCCCCAGAAATATGTCTTTTATGTATCCATAAAAATTTAAACAAAAAAAGTTAGGCTTGCCAAAAGAAATATACGTATGTTATGTAGTTTACAAAACAGTTAAAAAAAAAAAAACTAGATAAAAACTAAATTTAACACTCTTAAGAGAATGCAATAAATAAAAAAATATATATTAAAAAGTAGGACAAAGAGAAACCACAAATAAAGCAATAAAAAACTTCCAAAGATTTGTAATTTACATAAATACAAATTGATTGGGTTCCATTAAAAGTCATAAATTCTAAGACAATAAAAATAAAACAAAATCCAGCTGCACATTGTCTACAAGAGCCATCTAAACAAATAAAGACACTAAGAGTAGAAGCTGACATATCTATATTAATATTAGACACATTTAATTTAAGAAAAAAACAACATGGTAAAGGTCACTGCATGATGATAAAATATTCAATTCACCTGGAAGATATGATGATTCTAAAATGTAAATATGTCTAATCACTAGATCAAAAAATATTTTTTAAAATGGGCTGAGCTACATTAAGGAGTTTGCAAACTCACTATCATTAGTTTCAATAATGTTTTGAAGAGTAAAAAATAAGTATATATGTGGATTTGAATATACAATAAGTTACATATTTGAAATACACAATTCACCATATTGATTGAATGGACATATTTAAACATTACATTCCAAACTGAACAATATTCATTGTTTTCAACCATACAGAACCTATTAAATATTAATCATGTTTGCTAAGCCATAAGGTATTCTCTAGTTCTTCTTTAAGGTTGGTATCATAAAGATCATACTGTCAGTCTACAATGCAATTAAATTGTAAATGATCAATAACAACAATGAAGTAAAAATTACAATAACTAACCCAGGAGTACAAAATTTAACAACTAACTCATGAGTACAAACTAACAAACAAAATCGGGAATTAAACATGATTCAGAAAAAAATGAAATATTAAATGATAAGGTTTTTGATACATTTAAAATTTTCATAGTTACATATCACCAGTAAAAACTGTTCTAAAAACTTTAAAATACTAACTTATTGAATTTCCGTAACAACTACATGAATCACTACTATTATTCTTATTTTATAGTTGGAAAAACTAAGGAACAGAGACATTAAATAACTTAGCCAAACTAGCATGCATTTTAAGTACTAGAGTGTGGATTAAACCTAGCAACTTGAGTACATTCTCTTAGCAACTATGCCATATTGCCTTTCAATGATCTCATCTAAATAAAAAGGGTATATTATGACTTTATGCAAATATATTTGAAAATTTAGATGCATTAAGTAAATTTATATAGTATAGTTACCTGCTAAAAAGACTCAAACAGAAAAACAGTAATTCTGAATCACTAAAGCAATTGCATTCGTAATTTAGTTTTTGCTCACTAAAAGAACAAAGGCTAGGTTATTTATTTTAACAGTGACTACTAACAAAAAAAAAAAGATATATTATTTCAACTTTGTAAACGACTATAAAATAGTAAAAACAGGCAATACAATAAACTCATGGGGCTAGTGTAGTATTGACACAAAAACCAGATCAGGATATTATGAGAAAAGTGAATTACAACC